ATTCATCCTTCCATCTGCTATGTTTGAGAAATACACTAAATTACCAAAAATGTGGTAAAATTAAACGAAACTAGTAAATCCAAATAATTTATCTAAATGGTTGTCTAATAATTTTTACAGTGGATTTTAAGGTGACAGAACCTCTACTTAAAATAAACTGAAAAAAGGACTGGTGGAATTCATAACTTCTTGAAACTGACTACTTGAAAATACATTTATTTAAATTCTCATGTTTTAACATAAAACACAAGGAAATAAAACAAAAAATTACCATATAATAAATTTCAACTTGTGAATTTTTTCTTGTATTCATTTTTTTTTTTTTTTACTTTTTAAAAAATAAAAAATAAAATAAAATCTAAGCAATGAAAAGACTTGTTAAAAAAAACTTACAAAAAAGATGGGATAGGGGTTCAAATGATGCTAAAATAATAATAATAATCAAATCTATGAGTTTCGAGAAACTTCCAAGTTATGAAATAATTGATTTTTTACACATTATAAATTTTTAACCATCATATAAAAAGACATTATTAAGAATTTAGTTTTTATAATTTCAAAGAAAATATTTTTATTAATTTTCATCAAAATTTATCATCATTCATAAAGATACATAATAAATTTTGTACAAAAGTTATCATCAAAATTTATCATCATTCATAAAGTTTACAAAAGTTTTGATAGTACTTGAAGAAACCAAACCAACAAGTTCCTTACAGAAGTTAAAATTCATCATTTATATTATATATATCCTGAATTTATAATCAAATAATAATCTATAGTTTTTGTTACATTTATTTAATTGAAACAACAACAAAGTGGACCTGTAAAATTGTTACAAAATTTTGGTAATGCATCTCAAAAGATATAAGACTTTCAACTGTAAAATTCGCTTAAATTAAGTACCAGTCATAAATAATACACATTCTACTAACATACATACATGGAAAAACAAGAATTTGATTTTCTTTTACTCTAAAGTTTTTTTATGAATAATAAATTTAACATTATTACAGTATTATTGTTTGGGTTGGTCCAATGTAACAAAATAACCACAACTGAACATTATTTTGAAAACTTTCATTTGTTCAATTTTAAAATAATTTACTTTTGTTATTTACATCTACAATATAGGAATTATCTACTTACAAAAAAAGAAAAGAAAAGAAAAGAAAATAAAAATCTTATTTTTGAGAGTTTTTGTAATTATTTATTAGTATATGTTGTATTTGAGATCTTGCTATTGTACCAAATACATGTTTTTAGATGTTTATTATTATATAATTTTCATGCTAATGGTATGCACTTAACTTGTAACTAAAGACACCTATAAAAGCACTAATACATTTATACATATGCATTTCAAATCTATAAAGAGTTTAAATTGATTTTAAATCATCGCATGTTACTCTCAACCTATGTCAAATGAATGTTACTTAGTAAATATCTCACAACTTAGATGAAATTTCATAAATAACAAAATATTGTATTTAATTTTATTTTTGTGGATGTTTTTATGATTCATTTATATTTGTGGTTTAAAAAAATGTTTTATGAATATTAATGATGATGTTTTTTCAAACTAAAAATTAAAAAGACTAATAAAAATTGATAATAAAACTTTGTCTTCATAATTTAAAGAAGAATTATAATGAATAAATATAGAATCATCATTATTCTTGTTTGTTTTTATATTGGTTTTTGCACACTTTTTGGATTTCAAATTTTATTTGATACCTTGTAACAAATTTTAAGAGGTAATTTATGCTAAAATATTTGATTGTATTTTTGTTTCCAACAATCACATAGAAAAGAAAAATATATACATTTTTATTGAATTCATTATTTATTGTGGTTTATTTGACACTGTTTTAAAATTTTCTGAATATCTTCTATTGCATGAAAAATATATGTCATAATATTAATATATATATATATATATATGTGTGTGTGTGTGTGTGTGTGTGTGTATGTATGGTGTGGTTAATTTGCACCATACTAAAAAATAATTATTACAACTAATCATATTGATAAATACCATAATAAAGATTATTATTTATAAGATCGAGTTTAGAACAAAATCCTATCCATATGTGTATATATATATATATATATAGAGAGAGAGAGAGAGAGAGAGAGAGATGCTAAAACCACACCTCCCAAACCATATGATGATTAATTTTGGGGGGATAGGGAATGAGAGACAAAGTTAGGGAACAAGGCACAAGGATTGAAAACAGAGGCCGGAGGGCATGGAACAAGGAACAAAAGATGGGGATGGATGGAATTGATCATGAGATGGTAATGTGGGGTGTGGCTTTAACAACTCCCTCCATCTATCTATCTATATATACATAATTATATATATATATATATATATATATATCTGACTAGCAAGTCAGATTTTTGATTTGAAACTTTACACAAGGAACAGAGTTACACTCTTCCCTTACCAATTTTAATACACATTTGCCACATTGTCTTGAGATAAATGTGCCTTTACCTGGGGTTTATAACTCTCAAACTTGTGCAAACCCTAGATTTGGATGACCCCCCCCCACCAGGCAAGTTCCGGGTGGAATGGTCATGGAACCCCACCAAGCAGCGGAGGGGATTCCGGGTGGAATGGTCGCTGAACCAACCTTGGGGGGATCGCTTCTGCGACGGGGCTCGGCATTCGTCGCAGTGATGAGGGTGAGCAATGGCGAGAGAGCGATGAGCGAGATCTCAGATTGCTAATTGGGCGAGCGAAATGCGAGATTAGGGTGGCGAGGTGGACAGATCCCCCGGAAACCCCGCAGATTTTGCAGCAGTGGCGGTGATGATTCAACCAATTCGCACGCTCTGATCAAAAGCTGCCCGTCCATCACCAGAGCCCTAATAAATTCCAGATCGTAGAATTTCCGTAATTACCTCCCACTCTAGTTAAGTTCGATTGATCACTACTGCTTCCTTTTCATCGGATTAGCGTTGCCCAATATTAAGCTCCCCACGTTAATCGCTAGCAGCCCCTCTGAGAACCCCAATTGTGGCCGATTCGCTCACTGCTCGTCTCATTGCATGCCCACTGCGCTGCCACCTTCCGGTGCACTGTTTGCAGACCATTCCCCCATAGCTCTCCCATTGCGCAGTACTCCATTCCGTGCTGTTTTTCGATCGCAATCAGCTTAATTCAGTTTGCATCTATTTCGTGATGTCGCCTGGGGTTCGTCTGGATTCATGCGGTGGTGAATCCGCTGCACACAATGGGAGAGAATCGTGAGCAAATCGTGATGACGTTACTCGTTTCGGTGGGTGAGTATGCCTCCGTGGACGTTGTGATGTCTATTTGAATCGGAGTTTGATCGCTTGTGATCTGTATTGAGTGTAGATGTTCTGTGCACACAATCTCCGAGGATATTCTGCGCGCTGCGTCCTGCGTGTGAGGAACAGCATGCTTGTTGAAGTGGTGTCCGGCTGGGAATATATATATATATATATATATATATATGCACGACGATTCAGTAACACGTCGCTTGTGTATTTCCTTGCCGCAAGCTAAGCAAGAATGCTATCCACAGCAGTCAGAACAAGTAATGAGGTTGTAAAAAAGTATGATTAGAATAGGTTAAATGTCACACAGTCAATGCAAACGTAGAAAAAAAAAATGTAAAGGAAAATGGAAGCATGGTGAAACCCATCGTCATTATACTCGACTACTATGTTCTTCTTTGCTAACTTTCAATCAATTTGTGCTTGAAATTACTGTAATCGAATGGACTTTCACCCACTGTAAATCATCAATTACATCTTGAAGGTAAATAAATACCTTCACCGGTTAGAAATTCAGCATCTACTATACGAAGATGTGACTCTTGCATTCATGTAAACATAGATGAAAGATTTTGCGCCCTTCATTGAGCCTTCGAAGCTAAAATGTGCCTGATTGTGCATCACATAGCAGTACTGAAAAATAGGGTCTATAGTGTTCAATATTTGTGCGTCATCTTTTCGTACACTTCCAGAGAACCTGCAAGCGACACTTATAAACCAGGGTCTCGGCCCTCGGTTTAAACATGATGGCTTCAACTTTGTTGGTTTGTTCACTTAAAATAAAATTCACAGTAACTTTCCAGTTTTAGTGGTGATGATGCGGACGTCTGCAAGATTGCATGTTGCAAATTATTTGTAGGGGGAGGGAAGAGGGTGGAATGCTGATACAGACAGACACTAATTTCAAGTGAACATATGGGGCTGCCTAGTTACAACGCTAGGGTAGTGATGTGCAATACAACTACATTGACATGGAACAATTCAATCGCAACTAACTAACTCCAATAACCTAGGGTATTTGTAACAGTTTAAAATGATTGATCTCGACTTTTATCGGGCCCTACTGATAAGTCCACTCTCGTACCTGAAGGACAGTTTGGCAAGAACCAATGTACACCAAGAACAAACCAAAACTGTATGTATATGTAGCTGGTCATTGTCAAAGAAAATCCCAGCCATCGCTCCAGAACAACAGCGTGCACAATCATGGAATCCTTGAAAAAAGTAGATCTACAGGTAATGCACAAACTCAGCTCGTGGTCTCAGACAGCCATAAAATCCTCCAAAAATGTTCCAGAAATTCACAGCTCCATCCAGATCAAACGCGATTCGACAGGAGTTACTGGATAATGGTGGGGCTACACCTTGCAGAACTTAGATACTCAATCGGATGAAGGTTAGTAACTTTATCTCCAAAAAGTTCGGTGATTGTAAAACAGTCTGTAAGCATGGATTGCCAGCTAGGATTACATGTCACCAGGATCAATCAGCACTTGAGCTATTGTCGACCAGAAGGGAATTTGTCTGTAATCCAGGCAGTTACTCCGTAAAGTTAATTACCGAGGGGAGGGGTTGACGAGCCATGTTGCATTGGAGCGGAACTTTTGAAAGAGAGGCATGGGAGGGTGGGCCAGAGCCACAACACCTTGAGGCGTTGCAGTATCTTGTATGTTGTGGAGTCGCAGCCCTATAGGCCATCCCAGCCAGCCAGCCTGCCCCCAATCTTCGCCCTTGCCTATCCCTCCGTCTTCGCCATCTCTCCGCCAGGCTCACGTTCGCTCACGATCTTGCTTTCCAGTACCCTCTCGTGTGTCCGGCCCCGCTTGTTTCAGTGATACCGAAGCCCACCTCCGTGTGTTAGTTCTAGATGTTGCTGGGAGGATTGTGTGAGTACGTCTAGTGGGCGACATGAGTCGTCCGCTACAGCGGTGATCATAACAACATGGGGCGGGTGGAGCTTCAATCAGTGATTTGGTGGATTTGGGTGAATTTCGCTAGCGAGGGGTTGTAAGAGTGGAGATCTATCTACATCGCGCGATGGCGATACGGAGGTCGGCGCTCGCACGAGTGCCTAAGTTGGCTAGATCAGGGTAACTTGGGATTTGTACACCAGGTGCAGGCGGTTTAGTCCAGGTTCCGGGGAACGGCGAATTAGTGTGGTTGTGGATTCCGGCAGGTGGAGCCTTACGATGAGTGTTGCTACCATATTGCATGCTTGTGGGAGAATGATACTATCTTAGTCTGTATCTAGCTGGAGGCGGAGGTAGGGGTTTTGAGGACTGCTGATTCATACGGTGTCGGGGTCGAGGAGGATTTTAGCTCGATTAGATCGTCTTCGAGATGACAGGATCAGGTAGCACGAACACTGCATGTGCCGCCTGCAAGTATCAGCGTAGAAAGTGCACTTCCGACTGCCCTTTGTCACCCTACTTCCCACCCGACCAGCCCAAACGATTTCAGAACGTGCACAAGCTTTTTGGCGTCTCCAACATACTCCGCATCCTCAAGCACGTCGACCCTAGCAAACGTGAGGATACCGTGAAATCGATCGCATATGAAGCTGACACCAGAGAAAAAGATCCCGTGCACGGATGCTTGGGTGTCATCACCATTCTGCAAAACCAAGTTTCTAAGCTCAAGGACGAGCTTGCTGTGGTCAGAGAACAGCTCTACTTGCTCCAGCAGCAACATAATTTCAACCAGCAGGTATGATAACCACTCATCTCAAGCCGGCTGAAACGCAACGCTTGTTGAAATCCACCTCGTAATGTCTTTGGAAGCTGACGATTGCGAGGCGATGTTCTTGACGCAGGCGCAGGTGCAACAAATCGTGGGTTCCTTGGGAGGGAACACAAGCGTGGTGAACGTGAGTTCCGGGCAAGAGACCAATGTTCTAATACAGCAACTTCAGGAGTACAATGGCATGAACCACCTCAGTTCAGACTTTGCTAAGAGTAATCTTCTTTCCATATCGTGTTTCGAGTCGGATCAGTACTTGAGAAACGACAAGTATGATATCAAATCAGCGTCTTCCTCGAGGTTTGATGTGGGCAGGTACATAAACTTCTCTTTCATCGCCCAGTATTTATCGATTTTTTTCTGACGCTGAGCAGGTTTGCCAAAATTTTGACACAATGAAGCATCATGGGACTCTTCAACGACGATTTCGATTTTGTTTCCAAGGGATGCTTTCACCTTTTACGTTGTCCCTGCTTACAATTTAGACTCAGTGCATTGATGAGCTCTCACACCACATCTCCTTCTCAAAGAATGGTAGGCGTGAGTAGGGATGTATTGCCCTCTTCTCTGACGCAGGTTTCTCTACTAAGATTATGATGAACGCATGACTTACCCTACGTCCTGTGTTCAACCCATCCCGATTGGATTAGATACGCTTATATGGCATTAGCCTTATTAACTCTTCGTCAGTCAAGGCTTAAACATGCTAGATACAGCGAATGCACGCATTCTCACCGTCGAGCCTGCTTCTGAGATATTTTCTTGGACAATTTTGTACAGTTTCGAACGCACGAGTTAAATGTTTTGGCAGACTCTATAATCCGCTTTCGAAGTCCTTCATTCAGATTCTCTCTGATTGCCTTGAATAGGACCGCCGTAATCTGACACTATCAACCTTATCTATGCAGTGTGAGATTAACATCACAAGTGCGAAGGGTTAGGCATACCTAACCTCGGTAGGGCTAATCCAATTCTCTGAATCCCTACATGACGCCAAGGTCACCCTGAACCCTGACTGTCGGAAACGAAACCTTGCAGGAAATTCTCGCAGACGTGTTCGGTGTACGCATTTAAAGTATACGTGTCGGATAGAAATGTGAACACTCGAGCAGATGGTAAGTAGACGAGAGACTAACTTAATCAGAAATACTGACAGTAATCTTACGTGCCTTTGTACAGAGACGAGTCTAAGTGACCACTCTGACTTACATTTGTTCAGGGTCACCCAGGTTGCATCAATGAACTCAAAGCACCTCTCTCACAGCAGTGGTCCACTTGGGGGCTTCAAACAGGTACATCAGCGGGGATTCTCCAGTGCAGCAGTCCGTGCTACTGGGATCTGGTGGGCCAGTGAAGGAATCTCCGGTGCATCAGTCCGAACCACCCCGTGGTGCTAACGTTTTCAACGGTTATGGCATGGCCGACCCAGGTAGCACGTTCACAGACACTTCTGGCGATCATAGAATTTTGCAAGACGTTGACCATGCATTCGCCACCCCAGACCCCTACGCAATGGCGATTCGAAGGAGGGGAAGCGGACTTCTGAATCTGACGATTGCTTCCGACGCCGAGCTGCGGAGAGCTACTGGTGGGCATCATGGAGTTCCCGAGCACGAGCTGAAGAGCGCTGGAGTTTACCTCACGTTGACCAACAATTGATACGCATGCCATTATCTTCCAGGCTCTCAAGCGGAGCTCTTCGACTTCGTCTCATTCTGTAGACATTCAACAATTCTTATCACCAAGATTTTCCAAAAACCTTTGTCAGATGTATCTCATGGTTTAGTTCAGCATGTTGGGAGTCATCGGCCGGCGGCTGTAGTTTACAGAAATACACTGTAATACAACGGCATCTCTAGACTGCCAGGTTCTGTCACAATGGCGCTTCTTTGGAGCCTAACTTTTGCTTTATGGACCTCAACGACAAAAGTAGTCATGAACTTCTCTGAAAGACTTGATGGATGCTAAGCTGGGACATGTGAAGGTTTCAGGTGTTTGGTGCTGATCTGGCTGACCTTGGTCTGCCAATAGATGAACTGATACTAGATCGTTTACAAGCAGTTGGATTATGAGAACTTAGTGCAGGTTTCGTAGTAATCCAGGTGTGAGTGCTTGGGTAGTGAACCCTCGCAACTGGAAGCATAGATTGAATCCGCGTTTCAAATCTGAGGTTTTCGAACAAGATTTCAGTTTAAGCAGGGATGAAGTCAAGGTCCCTTTATAGAAGCCTACCTATTTTAGAGCCGCTCTAGATATAGGCAGACGGACCATCTAGTGCTGATCGATCTGTAGGGCTCTAAGGCTTGGTAGGCTGTATTCTTTTGTGTACAGTTCCTGCCGAAGGAACCGCGCCAGCTTCTACACTTCCCCTTTTTTTTCTTCTTTTTTTATTGTATCATAGATACAAGTTTGTGGCTATTTCTTGATGGACTCAATTTGAGATCCAGAAATTTTTATTTTAGACAGAGTTTCGTTCATCTCTTCTCCCATTCGCTTTCAGATGTTGTAGTTTGCAAAGTTGAGATGTTTTTCTTATCACTTATTCGGTATTGTCTAACTCGGTAATGGGTGAATGTCTATAAGATGTGGGATAACACATTCTTTCTCTTATTATTAACATTCTGAACTTCTGCTGTTATGTGCCTTTTTCTTGTCATGGATTGAGTTAAACAATGTGCATATTTAGTGGTACAACAGCAGGTCACACACCGGCATATTAGAGAGGCCAGATGTGATCTTTGTCTAGGTAGCTCATAACAATCACCAACCTCTTTTTATGCAAAACAGAGCCTGCACTATCTTCATGATAATTGAGAGAACGTAGCATACGGAATGAGTATCGATGACCTAGTAATCAATGATCATCAAGAACCGTTCATGACATTTCCGAGTTGCATGTACATGTATAAGTACTCAAATGGCCGTATTCGTTGCTTAACGAATTTTCCCAGTCTCACAATTGTGTCTCGACTCCACTAGCGAGAACCTACAAATTATGATTTGTCTAGATTGTTTCAGGTGTGCACCAACATACTTTAGTCCCAAAATCCCTCAACAATCCTAAATTAACCGAATCTGGTTCCGATGAATCGAAAGACCTTCCGTCTACCTGGAGAACAGCAACAGTTTCAACACACCTTGATGCAGAATACCTTTGAAGTCATTCACCTGTGAGAACTATATTCTTAAGTTGGTGCGCGAAGATCCGTCCAAGAAGTCGAAACGAGGATGTTTTGGTGGACCGCAACATATTCTGCAAGCACCATAGTTACAGAATAATTTCCTGGAAATATCCAGTAGAATATCAGCTCGTCATTGATCATTAATATCGACCAAGATATGAGACTTGTGTGATTGTTCACAGACAGTTGAGCATTCAGACTAGGCTCAGTAGTGACATCTTATCAATCTACTCACAGTCCATCTGCAAGTCTTCCTGCTTCCACCTTCTGAAAGCTCTCTACACGCATACAAAACTTCCACGCTCTATTACTAGCATTATGTGAGGATATAGTTACTCTCAGACGCCCACGGCCATGTGTTCAAGTGCTAGTCAGAGATCAGTTGTTAAATATGGCAGTGGAGATAGTGCATCAACTAACGACCTGTTTCACTTGAATGAGGATTATAAAATAGCACATTGGAGGACATTAAGGATTGACATGCTCAGCCGGAGCACACGGTTAAACGAGGTTTTAAACAGATCAATGGCACTTGTAAAGCGATAAAAGGATTGCGACTTCCTGCAGAGATGGTCTCCGAGGATCATGTTTCCTAAGATGCAAGAGTAAGAGTATAGAATGCTGTCCAGCCAAGGAATTCGACTAGGTGGGTGATTCGTTTGACGTGACCAAGGACATGTCAAATTAAGAACAATGTTTCAGCAACTCCCGGAGCTGGAATTTAGAGCGAGATGCTCGCAACAGCTGTAGATCCGCCACAGAACCCGTGGCACCAGTGCGCATTCTCCGAGATATCACCTGCGGACCTCGCTGTTTACAGTCGCATTGGAGCTTAAGGCAGCGACCTTGATGACATTTAGCGTCAAGCCTATCTGGATTTCGCTAAGGTATGATATTGGGTGAAGGTAGCCCTGTTCACTGCGACGACTGTCGTCCTCAAAGTTGCACTCTAGCATTATCACCGCCAGTTGCAGCAACCGGTTGTCTCCAGGGAATTCCTCGAAGTGTTTTTCACAACGGCGATATGGCTCGGTGAATTAGGTTGGTCATATGTCCTTGGGGTAGGCGCTTCCATGAATGGCGTCGGCCATTCGACTTGGAACGTCACCCTCTGCAATCAGCAGATTATTGATTGGATGTTTAGTGCTAGCCAATACCTTATCTGGTAGCCTATACAATCTAACTACAAAGCTTTAAGTTCCTGTCACTCAAATATATACCTAGTTCGTTTCTGACGAGTTTGAGTCCCACTTGACCGACCTCGTCGCATTGTATATCCTAGCCATATGCAACACATTTTAGGCCCCTGTCTGGCTCTACGAATTAATTGCTTGTATTGTATCATGGGTTTCTGTTACAAAAGTGGTATTCATTCCATGTTGCAAACATGAATGCGCCAGAACAAGGGGAGAGCGGAATTATATGGAACTTATATGCTGGACAAGTCTTAGCTCTAGGTTCAAATTTTACTTTACAACTGTTTTAGTTTTGCTTCTAATATTCAACACTCCTAGTTAAGAAGTGAGATTAAGTTCTCTATTAAAACAAGGCTTAATATATCTCTAAAAATTATAAACTTATCTTTAGAAAGAGGTTTTGTGAGAATATTTGTAGTCATTTGCTTTGTGGATTAATACTTCAACTTAATCTATCATTTTTTTACACATTTCTTCATGAAGTGATGTTTTGTATTTGAATGCTTTGTGCAACTATGGTATCTTGAATTGTTAGCAATAGCAATAACTTTTTGGTTATCTTCATAAATAATGATCTTCTTTGATTTAGAAATGTCATAATTCTTAAGTACTTAACAAAGCCACAAAGTCTTTCTTGCTACAACAACCAAAGTTGCATACTTTGCCTTTGTTGACAAAACAAAAACTAGTGATTGTTTCTTACTTGATCAAGTAATAATTACACCACCTAATATAAATGCATAATCGTCGATAAAATGACACATCTTTACATAACCTATTCTATTTGCATCACTATAGCCCATGAGTTGCTAACTTGCTTCTTTGCCTCCATATGTAATACCAAAGCTTTATTTCTTGCAAGTAACAAAATATTTATTTGATTCTTTGCAAATATGAAACACATATATGTGCCATATATTGAGCAAATTATCAACAAATAAATGCACTATTATACCTTATAAAATTTCTAATGTACAATAATAAACCTATAGTTATGTGATAAAGTTTTATATCTTCTGTATGTTTTATATCCATCAATATACATTATATAAAAACAAGGTTCACAATAAAGATTTAATAAAGTTCCATCTAAATTCTAGTTTTATTTGCACTAAGATTGCTTCAAGCTATACAAGGTCTTTAGGAACTGCAACATCTTGCTTTAATATTTGCATGGAATTTTAATTCATTTAAAAATCTTCATATAAATATCCTTCTCTTTGAAGTTATTATTTAAAAAAGCTAAAAAAATATCAAGTTGCAATATATTCCAATCAAAGATAATAGCAATTATAATAAACATGCAAATTCTTACAAGATAAGCAATTGGTGCAAAAGTCTCTTAGTAATCAAGATCTTTGATTTAATTAAAATTCTTTCCAAATAATTGTGTTTTGAAATGCTTAATACAATCATTGCTAAGAAGCATCTTCTTAAAAATTTATTTTGAATCTATAAACTTCTTGCCATTTAGTAAAAATAAAAATATTTATATACCATGATCTTTTAAAAAATTAAATCCTTCATTCATGGCATGACTCTACTTTTTGCAAAGAAGTGGATCATGGCTTATTCAAAAGTATTTCATTTTGCATGTTTGTTCACATAAATAACATCTATTGTTTAAACTAACAAACTATAATCTCCACAAATATTTTTTTTTGTTATTTTCTCAATGCATACAATGTAACTTATTACTACTTGTAATATTTTTTAGATCAATTCAACTTATATAACAACGTCTTGGTTGTAGAGCTTGAATGGTTGCCTCTACTTTTGATTGATGGAATGCCACTATTTTTATTGGTATAGATTTTTTTTTTCTAATAACTTTAATTCTACCAAATCTATCATGTATATATGATCTGAAGGCTTAAAGTTTAGATGTTTTTAATCTACTTAGATATTGAAGAGCAAGAAACCAAGTTTGTTTCTATGATTTCTATTTTTTCTATTCTTTTCTTTGAAGAATTGGTGGCTTATCAAGCAACTCATCTTTAATATTAAGAAAAATTATATCTTAAATAAAAATAATCTTCTTTTCTTCAATTAGAAAAACTCATATTCTTTTGCGACATCTAAAGATTCAAAAAAAATATCCTTCTTTGCATTTGTATTAAGCTTGTGATACTTTATTTTGGTATATGATATCAAGTAAGATGATCAAAAAAATGAACATATCAAATAAAAGGTTTTTTCTATATAAAACTTCATGTGGTATCTTACTACCAAATCTTGTAAGTAAAAGGCAATTTACAAGTCTAAGTTACAAACTTGGCAGCAAACAACGAATATTAATAATCCAACTTGACATTGTTTAATAGTGTTCATACTTCTTTAAAGTTAGTCTACATCATACTCTTTGTCATATCAACATTCTTATGTACATACATAAGAGTAATCATGTGCCAAATACCTTCAAGATTGAAATGTAAACTAAGCTTATAATTCATAAACTTATTGCCTTAATTAATGAAAAAAAAAATCATCTTTCTTTTGATTTTATTTTTTGCCTTTGCCTTTGCCTTTGCTTTCCAAGTCTTATAAATAATATATATGGTCTCTAATCTTAAAAAATGTAAGTTTAAAATAACCAAATTATTTATCAATCTACATAACTAATTATTTGGTGCCATCAAAATTAGTTGTATCAAAATAACTAAGATTAAACACTACTACATCTAAAATACTATTAGCATGCTTATACTTATGTGAAAAAGACTTGTGATGGATCTAACCAATAATGTACAATTCACATATGGATATCTTATTCTTCTTACCTTTGATCTTTAATCTTTTAATACTACTTATTTGCTCTACTTCTCATATTGTATGCATTAAAGCATGTGCTAATACTTAATGTCATTTAATGAATGTACAATCCAAAATAGATGAACTATTAATTATAGTAACTTCTTCAATTTTACAAGGCATAAGATAAGCTTTACTATTGAGCATACTTCCGATGAGTGAATCTTTTGAAAGAAGAATTTAATCAATTTTATTGTCATCCAATATAAATTTGTATAAGATTAAATCTAACAAGAATGTATTATGTATTTTAAAAATCTAATATACATCCTTTATGACCACATCAATATTTTATTTTTTTTAGGATTCAAAATTATAAGATATATCTTATTTGAACCTCATGATTTGATGAGGCTACCATTGTATCTTTGAAATTGGATGGTTATATTTTTATTGAAGTTGGGAAGCTTACTTCTATCTCTTTGGATGTATACATCCATTGTGCTATTAATACAAATGTAATGACATGATTAAGACAACAATACAATTGTTGCTTATAATTCATATGATATCTTTTGGACTGAGAAAAAAATAACAATATTAATACTTATTATACAACCAATATTTGTTCTAGGATACACTCCATCACCTTATTAATATCATTTTTGTCTACAAGTCCTACAATTGCTTCTGGACTTATCAATCTTACGCTTTTTTTTCTATTATAGATGGTACTTCATCTAAGATTGCTTCCTTCTTATATGCACTATTAAGACAAAAAATAGAAAATTAGTTTTTTTCTTTTTTTTTTTCTTTGTATTTCTTCCTCAAAGAAAATAGATTAGACCATTTCATCTTTAATCTCTTCTTCTTTTTTTTCAATATAGTTGATTAAATAAGTGGATCTCATGATTTTGACAATGTAATAAGGACAAAAAATGTCATATTTTTTTTGTCCATTTCACCACCAAACTTAATGTATTGATCACTAAGATTAAAGATTTTAATTGAAAAGCTATCCATGGATTTTTTATTAATCTACCAAAGATTGTGAAGATTCTTTATAAAAAATATTTTGATAATAACTTCTAAAGACTTGTTGGTTTTAGCCAAAATATCCCACATCTTCTTTATTGACTTATATTTGTATATGTGAATCAATTCCAAAGGCTTGGTATTGAAGGCAATTAATGTCAGTGCTTCCACTTAGCTTAACTTGCATTTTGATTTCTTATGTGTATCTATAAGACATTATAATATCATGTCTACATGCCTATAGAGTTTACATATGTGCATCAATTACTTCATAACAAATGCCCATGTATTATAGTTCTTCTTATCCAATTGATCAATGCAATGGTTAGTTGAAGATGATGCCATTGCCAAGGCAACCAATGTAATAGCAACAAGCAGCAAGATTATTCAACAACAATAAATCTTCTAATAGCAATAGATGAACAATCAATAAATATTGTATAAATTAAAATAACAAAGAGTGGTGATATCAAGCTTGATTGAAGCAAAAACAATACTTCTTCTAAATCATCACCAACAATAATCAACACCAATAGTAATAATTATTAATGTTGGCAATAGTAGAAAGATTCAACAACACAACCAAGCTCTAGTAGCAACAAGATTGCAAGGCTTTAGCAATAGTAAGATAACAAAATTCTACAGCAACAATTTATCCGTGAAAATCTTTTATCCAAAAAAATCATCTTGTGTTTTCATCTATTACCACTAGTCATCTAGATACTTTTGTATGCAACCATTGTTCATCCAGAGCTCATATCATGTTACAAAAGTGACATTTATTTGATGTTGCCAACACAAATGTACTAGAATAAGAGAAGAGCAACACTTTGTGGAACTTTGATTACATGCTAGAGAAGTCCCAACTTGTGGTACAAACTTCACTGTACTATTCGACAATTTCCTTGGACAGTCTATTAAACTGAGTACTTTTTGTTTTGTTTTGTTTTGTTTTTTTTCTTGTTCTAAAAAATAATTACTTTTAGAAAAAAATTCTCATGATGGTCCTTGTGTAGTTAAAGACTGAAGAAATCACATTCTAAATAAATATTTTTCAGATAATGCTTGGGCAATCCACAGTAGTACCATGATTGTGCTTCACAACTATATCCTGGTTTGCAATTTTTTCAAGAAATTAGACTTCTTTTTTATGACATTCTGTGGTTCTCTACCTTCAGAAATTCTGTGGTTCTGATACCAATCCTCTACACATTCCCATCACTATCTCGGACTTTTGTTTTAAATTTGAGTCCCTCTAACTCCTTCGGCCTAACGTGCAGTGATTTCAACAATCCATGGTCTTTCATGACACTTGTAATGTTTGTGGACTTTAATGCCTTACCTTTAATATCAGTGATGGCCAGGCTATGCACTGTAAGCATGCATCGTTTAATTGAAAATAAAATGTGTCGTGTGTTGAAGCTTCGTTTAGTTATAAGTATTGAATTTTTTTGTATAGCAATGCACTTTGGAACTTTCCCGTGTTTCCTGCACTTGCTGGGCATAGTAGCCCCTCTGTTTAGACGGATTGGTGGGAGTAATTTTAGCTGGTTTTAGTATCGATTCAAAATGTGTATACAGTTTTATAACGTCGGTCTGTTGCATAGCTTAGGCATTTCAGAGACCGATGCTCTGTTTGGTGATTAAAGATCACATCTATTTTAATTGATCGTCTCGAAGCTGAATCATTTCGAGGTGCACTGTGATCGATTTTGTGGACAAGGATGTAGCTTGTATTTGGTTTCGCATCGTCTGATATCTTAGTTTCATGATATTTTGGCCAGTTAGAACAAACCAAATTTTTTACTTGAATACATCCTCGCACTGATGAGCTGCATTGCATCGAGTTTATGTAACAATCAATCACAGTTTATTGCCTTTGGCACTGAATTCTACACTTATAGTACTGAGTCGGGGTTAACCCCTCCATCTAGTGATACTGAATCGTAAGCACTTTCAATGTCTTGTTCTGTGGTAATGTGCTTGCAGGTCGATTCATTACCTCGTTTTCTCCTTAACAGGTACAATGCCATCGTTTCCTGCGAGCAACCGGTACTTATCCTTGCGAGTGAAATCTGTGCAATCATATCCGAGTTCTCCGGCAAGGAGATGTTGTATGTAGTTCGCCACTTCAATGGACGATTTTCCGCTACCACATGTCATGTTCTTTGGAATCTCGTCTAGGAATTTGAGTTCGATGGTCGGCCGAGGGTTCATGTAAGCAAAGAAGGGGTCCATGGCTTTGTTACCGCGAGCAGTTGTGCCGTGAAACATATTCATGTTAATTTTTACGGCCACAGGAACAATCCTGTCACTCAACTCGGCGAAGAGAGCTGAGAATCGAAGCAAGAAAGGCTCCCTGCAAGTAGTGCCCTCAGGACAAAGAGTGAGCTCACCCTCTTTCAGCACCCTTCTCATATTGGCCGAGTCTTTCTCCCTATCTCGGCACAGGCCGATTGTTGGCATGGGGGACAGGAACTCTGAGACTTTGGATATGGAGTAAGTCACGGCAGGGACGGGGCGCCCAAGCGCCAGAGCGATGATGACGGGGTCCAGAAGAGTCCGGTGGTTGCAGACGAAGAGTCTCCCGGGTTCTCCATTCTTGGGCTTCTCAGGGATGTTTCCCTTAACAACGAGGTTGATGCCTGTGAGTTTGTAACACAGTGGCATCAAGCGTATGGGGACCCATACACCCATCGTGACGCGGACGATGGACAAAAGCAGGCCGATAGGCATCCATGCCAGCACTTTGAAAGCATTACGGGGCGTTGGGAGTTGCACAAGCCGACCGTCATGAAAGATTAGCTGCTTCGGCATGTCTTGCTTCTTAACGGCTGGCACTTTCGTTTTGGGTACTACATAGCCTTCCTGCAACAATTCCCACAAAACTGTATCAAAAATAGAGGTTCTCCCTGAAGGAGTGCAGTACTCGCTCAAGGTCTACAAAAGCATAACATTCACTTGAGATCTGTGAAGAGCATGATAACGTTGAACTCCTTCTATGCAGTTAACATGCTCTGATATCTAGTATAAATTCGCGATCACAAATTCGGTGATCACTAAAAGCACAAGTGACATTTCATTTCTTTTCTTTCTGACAAAAAGGAGAGGGTACCACACGATCGAGAGAACGGAAAGAAACTGAACCTCTAGTTTTATTTGATTCAGCAACGAATAGGACAGAGAACTAATATCGTATCATTATAGAACTCAACACCAGCAAAAGAGAAGTGCCATTTCAGAATCGTAACGCTTCACATGGGTACACGGGAAACATGGCAAGACTCCCTACAGACAACTTTCTCAAGACAAGCTTTGGGGGAATGAAGCAAGAACCCTAATGGAACAAGTTAAGAAAATGGGAACCCTCTCAAGGATTAGGGAGCAGCTTCTCTGTTGCTCGTATTTCATTGCATGAAGCAAGTTGAAGAAAACTCCTAAGACTGAGAAGTGCCATAAAATTAGCTGCAGCTAATTAGGCAACGTGAGTCAAATCTGTCAGCAGCTATGGAGACCTGGAATCGGAACCTTCTGTGGTAAGTTTCCGGAGTCAATTGCTAGAGTCTCTCGCAGTAACTAGAGGTAATGCGGGGATGGTCACATAAATGTTGAAAAAACAGCTCATTAGAGAAAGTTGATGGTCAAAAACTATAAGTCGGCGGTCTCCAAAAGCATGAATCCATTCATGGACGAATCATGAATGGGTTCAGATCAACTGTCAGTACATTCAGCGTTGCTAACATGGGCAATGACACCAAGAGGCAATATCGCATGTTTCACCACAATCCATAGTGTCACAGGCTTCGAAGTGAGACGTAAGTTTTTAGCAAAACCGCATTACCTTGCAGTACGCCATGAAAGGGAAATCCGTAACGCGGTCGCCTAGCCCGACGTGCGGGCGCTCACCTCCAATGTTACACCGCTTTAGAGCTTCCTCCTTGTGTGTCCCAACCAGAACACCCGGCTTCAGAAGCCTGCCTGTAGCGCGGCCCTTTTTGTTCACCTCAATCTCCGTCCCCATAACCTCGTCCGCGCCGAGGACCTCCTTCAGAAACGGCTCCACCATCACGCGCGGGTTTGCCGTCAGCACCACACGCTTGCCAAAGCTCGAGAACACCCGCCAAGTCTCAGGGTGAAGGTCATCGGCGTAGAACTTGGTAAGCACAGCGCGCGCCACACCCTCAATGTCCTTAATCTTCAGCCCCGCGAATGAGAGAAAGATCATGAGGTGAATCCCGGACGCCTCGTCCACAAAGTAGTAGAGAAACCCAATGAGCGGCGCCATGAGCGACAGCAGCAGCGCCCTGAAGTAACTCCCGGCCTCGAACGCCACCAGGAAGAAATACGGGAAAGCGGACCGCCCCCGAATGAGGGTGCCGTCCAAGTCCGCCACCACGGTCTGGCTCCTGCGATCATTCCCTGAGCTGCACGATTTCACCTCCGCGAAGCTGTAGTTCCCGGCCTCTTTCAACTTCGTCACCTCCATGTCACCTCCTTCCTCTCCCCCCTCCCCCTCCCCCACCCCACCCCCCACCCCCTCTTCAACTCCGAAACTAAAACAATCCAACTTCCACAAAAGTAATTCCACGAACTCTAGAACGTCTTGGTTATTACGCCTACTCCGCTGTATGTTGACAAATTATCACCTAAACCTGGGAACTCCAACGTGATGCAGCGGCAATCGGTTCGGGCTGTAGTTTACCGTCAAACAACCAAACAATGAGCATGACCAATGCAATGATCTACAGACCGTCCCTGAAGCTGTAGTAACCACATTTGAGCATCAGTCGAGACTCAACCAGGAACCAGCAGGTTTGAATCTAATCGCTAAGACAACCTCTTCGTGAAACAAATATGTTTCGATCGCTGTTCTGGACGGCCCCTCTACCCTATCTTCCTTATATACCGTTAGCGACAACCCGATCAGATTTGTCCCAGGAACGAGAGACGAGCGCGACTCATTCACTTAGAAACACTTAGGCCGTCCATCACCACCCGGTTAGAAAAAATTTGATGACTCCGTCTATTTTTTTGCTTCTTCTTCTCCTGCTTCTCCTTCTTCGGCGGCTGGTCCCATTACGTGGTCAGGGATCCGGCGACTGGGAGGGACTCGGTTGTTGCCACTTTAGGCCCCGGGATAGATTGCATGAGGGGATGTGGCGAAGCACTGGCGATGGATCAGAGATGATGAAGGGAGTATTACAGACCCACTGGAGAAATGTTTACATATTCCTGTCTAGATATCTATCTCTGGACATGAATATGTAGAAAAGTATGTAGATATTCACACATGTGATGTACAACAACAAAACATATATTGCTTTTCTTTTCTTTGCATACATATATAGATAGAAAGATAGATATACACACACTCAAGTTTTAATTGCGGTGGTAGCGTGATTGGCAGGAGCGGCTTTGGGCCGGTGGGAGAAGGATCATTAGTTTCAGGCTGGTGATTTAATGGCGGACCAGGCAGGGTAGGTGGAGCAGATGTACCAACGCTTTGGAGGGCTTGAAGGCGCAGCTACTGTAGTAGTGTGGGTGTGGGTGTGGTTGTGGTTGTGGGGTTGCGCTCCTTCTCGCCCGTAAGATCTTTCCTGTCTCCGCTTCTCGGTCCCCGCATCTCCGACGTTGTCTGGGGTCGTCGCCTCCGTCAGCTACCCGTCTCGTCTCATTCCCCTACTACTAACTCATTCCCCCACCCCCACCCCCCACGTCCTCTTTGGCGTGTGCCTGCCCTGGTGGGACACTCCTCTTGAATGAATTCGGTCCCTCCACACACATGCACACACACACATTCTGATTCACACCACTTTCTTTTGCTGCTTCTTCTCCTTCGTCATCTCCACCGTCGTCGACTTCTTCTTCTTCTTTTTTGTGTCAAAGATGTTGGTGACCAACTCTTTTGCGGCAACCTTTACGTTGACAACACCCATGGCCCTTCTTTTGTCTTCTGCTTCTTCGTCACTCTCTGCGTTGTTGTTGCGTTGTTGGCGATTCTTTATTGCCATGTTTCGTATGTATACTGCCTCTCTTTGTGCTGTTGCCTCCGTGTTCATTTACCTTCACCAGATGTATGTGTGTGTGTGTGTGTGCGCGCGTGCGTGCGTGTGTGTATCATGAATTTATGTGGGTGTTTGTTTAATGGATTGTGTGATTATATAGAAAAATTGATCCAGGTTGGACAGTGTGTGCTCATGGGCTTTCCACACCATTTGAGGCAAGTATATGGGTTTGTATGATTTCAAACTGCCCACTGGTTAGAATAGATAAGAAAAGCATCATGTATACATATTCATATTTATATATTGATTAATTAATTAATGAAGGAATGAGTCACAAACATAAAACTTGATCATGTAGTGAATGTAGAGGAGGCATGCTAGTTAATAGGGTTAGCTCTGCCATGGCAGATATCAAGCTTCTATTACTAGGATACTAAAGTCAGAGCATATGTACACATATATACATATATATATATATATATATATAGGGTCAAAAGTCAATAATTTTACTGAATAGACATTAAGAGTAAAAGTTTGATTTTATTTGTCTTGTTAAAAAGCATGTAAATCATTTCCAGATAATCATTTCTTTACACACTTATTTATTTTGAAATGGTATAAAAGAATTCACATCTAGAAATACAGAAGATGACAAATGTTTGACATGAACACATGGACGTAGCATCACATAACCTGGAGTATTTCTTCTGAAGCAATAATTCATCTCTTGACTATGCAGAAGACAAAGCAATGATTCCTTCTGAAACAATAATTCTACTGCTCAATCATGGAGCAAAACTTTCACTCTTGTAAGGAAAATACATAAATAAATATACTAATTAAACTAATTAATTAAATTGGAATAACAACACTAAAATAATCTAAACAATAGGGAACTATTATGTGTACACTTGGGTACCTTGCAATGAATGTGCTGTAGTCGAGTCCACATGCATCAATTACTTATTAACAAAAAAACACATATCTATGTTTCATGAACAGTTGAGTATCAAGTAAACATGTTTGTGGTCAAAAACGTAATTCTTCTATCTAAATTAGTATGTCAATATATATATATGTATATATAGATATATGTGTGTGTGTGTGTGTGTGTGTGTGTGTAAGTATGCATAATAAAAATGCACAAGTCTTGCATGTTTTTTTTCCTTGATTAAATTACACAAGGTAGTAAATAAATGAATGTTAAAAGTGTGTCTTTTATTCATTTCTTTTTCTTTTTCTTTCATTCTTTTTTAAGTGAAAAAGAATTGCTATCCACATAATTAAATGATACGGAAAATGCATCCCACATTTCCAAATCTGCAAACGTATTCACAGAACAATTTGGTAAGTAGAGAAGAAGAGGGTGTAAAGAGGTGCCACGTAGGACATGAGTGCCACGTAGGATAAAGAGTGCCACGTAGGACAGCCATGGGGATGTGTGAGCAAGGCAACATTCATGGTGATGGGGAAGTGTGAAAGGACGTTTCCTTCACAAATGTTGCACACACAAAAGGGGCCTGTGCCAAAGGAGACCCCATTGAGCCCCTCCTTCTTCTTTCTGTTCTTTTGCCATAAATGGTAGGAGTGCTTCTTTCTACCTTGTAATGTCATCATCTCTTTGTGTATCTCAACAATATTAATAGCCCAAATAAATAAGATCATATCCTCTTCCTTTTTCTCTTTTATTTTTCTCTCACTTTTTGTTCTTTTTCTTTTCTTTTCATGTAATGTGATGTGACTTGTTAAATATTACAACATCTGAAAGAGTAATGATTAATTATCATAACTAATAACAATTTAAGTATTTTTATGTATAATATTTGCAGTTTAATATTTGAACATTACAGTTGTAACATGCTGATACTAACAGAACATTACTAAACCATGTTTGCATATTTCCACATTACTAACTCATGAAGAAAATTTCGCATAAGCTTTTCTTTGGGTACAAGAAATACTTTTTACAAGAAATTTTGATAAATTTGTCATCTGTGTTGAAAGGCAAAAAATCGAAATCCTCAATTTTCTCTAATTTTGTTTTTTAATTATCCAATCAATTTTGGCTTAATATCATCTGCTGTGGTTTTTTTAATGTTCATTTTCAACATATTCTCTCACACTTTCATTTTGGGCTGTAATATCTGAAAATTACCAAAATAACTTTATTTTTGTGCAAATATCACTTTCAATGTACATTGTTTATTAACTTAAATAAATGGTTGATGTTTTATTTATTTGTTTGTTTGACAACATTCAATCACTAAATTGGGTAATAGTCAATTGATGATTTTGTTGCCTGAAAAATTATGGCATGATTTACAAAGCGACAGGATGATCTTGGTTCTTTAAACATCAAAATACTAAAACCATTGAGACAGTAACAAGAGTTTTTTCAAAAACAAATTAATGGTATTAAATGATAATGATTCTTTAAGCATGAAATTTAGGATCCATTTTAAGTAATTATAATATAAGAGGAAATTTACATGTGCTCATGTTTATTAGCATGTGCACTACACGAATAATATTTATTATCAAATATAAAAATGAAACGAAAATGTCAGTGAAGATTTATATCGTGTGAAACTAATTTCTAACAAAGTTTTCGATTATAATTTTATTTTAAAATGATATGACTCTTTTTTCTTTTTTGTTGGTTTCTTTCTTCTTGCATGTCACTTAGATTTTTAAAAAAATATATTTTACACGTCACCTCATGAATTTTTGCATCACTTTCTGTCCAATTATAATTTTTCATTGAACGTTTTTGTAAGTACCATATTGAAATATACAACTGAAAAGAAAAGAAAAGAAAAGAACAGAAAAGACTTTATAATAGAATCTTAAAACTCAGTTGTTGCATTTTGAACAAAACTTAAAGAAAGACATAAAATTGTGCTTGTTATTTACCAAGAATTGGATGGAAACCAATTCTTGTATTCCTCTCAATGACATCAAATTCATCAGTCACGAATAAAAAGCCTAAAATAGTTTTGTGAAATATTATCATACCAAAAGTGTAATCAACTATAATAAAAATAAAAAATAAAAAAGGAATTGATGATGAGACAAACAAGATCCCATTCATGAGGCAAACCTATATGACCATATATATATATATATATATATACACACTCACACAATTAGTTAATTAATTTTTACTCTTTGATCATAAACACACACATGTAAATATTATTTGGGTGCTGCAATTCAAGACACTACAACCAAGTTGTGACAAACCGAACCCAATCATAAAATAATTCAAAAGGGATGAATATTAAATGGGACACACACTAATATTGTGACACACAAGGCTTGTGAGGAGGAACGAGGAAAATTCCTCAAATGGGTCTCCATGAAGCCAAAAAAGGGGGCATAACTTTTGTGATTGCCATGTCATCGCACCAAAACTAATATAAAAAACAACCCCACTTCCACTCACACGGTCATAGGAGCCCATATGAACTGGACGGTCTCAGACCCTCCATGATCACGGTCGTAGGAGCAGGACGGTCATGGGGCGTCAACCCCCAGGCCGCAGCCTTATCCCCTTTTGTTGTAAACCAACGCACTGTTGGATTGTCGCGAATTTCTCCAAAATCTCGGTTGCGATTGTTGCTGTTTGCCACAGCAACGAAGTTAATTTACCGAGTTGTTTGTGTTCCTCGGGCTTTATCCACTTTCGGAGCCACTTTCCCGTCAAGGTTTTTGTGCATTAGGGTGTTGTCTGGAACCATTGTTTGTTGTGTTTTGGGCATTGGGTTCTTCCAATTGCACAGTGCCGGGGTTTATGTTGAGGAATTCGGGGAGGAGCCCAATTTTCCCCTCGAGCTCTGGACGTGATTTGGGCTTGTGAGTGGGGGAATCGAGGAGCTGGGGAGCAATGCAGGGGCTTCGGCTGGGAAGTGCTGCTTGCTCCGCTGGAATTGTGCAACGTCAGATTCTCAGCAATGGCGGTCAGAATGCTGTGAGGCTGGGTTGCAAGAATGTTGTCTTTGGCCTCCCTAGTTGGGATTTGGGATTGCAGCCAACTCGTGCTGTCTCTCTGCTGGATGGCGGTTCTACTGGAGGCAGAGTTAAGGCCAGAGCGACTGGCCGTGTCGCCCCAGCCGCTAATGCAAGCAACACGATGGAGTTGATTACCGCAGACGAGAAAGATGAGGTTCACTTGCTGCTTTACTGTTGTTGTTGCATTTGGCTTATCCTTGCAGATACCCGCAATCTGAATTACATTGGTCTTTTTTTTTTTTTTTTTTTTTTTTTTTTTCATTTTTGTTTTACCTTTGAATTCTCCAGTTCTTCAAGGATTCCAAGTTTGGTTTTAGTTTTTCCTGCACACTAGCTTATAGCATTTTCAACCTTATGCTGAGAACTTAAGCGTCTATGATCTTCCAGGACGCCGTTGAAGTCAATACCTCTGCAATGTTCCCTTTTAGTTTCTTTGTGATTAGTTTTAGCTTGAGTGAGCCGAATTTCAATGACATGAAAAGTTAGGCATGTTTTAAAAGTGTTGAAGCTTGCTTTCTGTATTTTCTAACTTAAACCCTAAACCCTCAATCTTAAACCCTGAAGGTCGAAAGTATAGAGGATTGAGAATTTCAGTGTTGGTTATTGGGTTTTTTCTTCTCCTGTTCTTGTGGGAAGGACGTTGAAAACTGAAGATTAACCTAAACCGCTCACTTCATTTGTGTAGTTGGAGCTGCTTGAACCGGATTTCTACAGAATTGGATATGTCCGTCATGTGCGCGCCTATGGCATTGAGTTCAGAGAAGGACCAGATGGAATTGGCGTTTATTCAGCGAAAGACCTTCCTTACCTTGAGAAGCCACGAGTATGCTTCTTATCATTACTCAAATTTCCCGCTTCGAAGCTGTGTGGTTTCTACAGTAATGTTTACCTTGAATTTGAATATGGATGGAAATTAGGTTGGGTAACTCTTTGTTGCTTTTCAAATTATGGAGTAGTCATACATTTAGTCTACGAACCGTGTCTTTTGTTTCCGCTAAGGAGGAAGCTGGTGTACTTTTGAGAGTAAAGCCGTACCAATCCTAGAATGATGCTTTAGTATTTGTGCATTTGTTTTCTCAACACAGTTTTATGCTACTAATTCTTACAACTTCTCATTTGAATTGCACAGGTCATTCTAGAAGTCCCTATGGAGATTATGGTGACATGTAGGAAAGATCTGCCTTGGATGTTCTTTCCCGACATCGTACCAATGGGTCATCCAATTTTCGAAATTATCAACTCCACTGACCCAGAGGTTGATGAGACACACCGTATTAATCATTATCGTACCAAAAATTGCAGTTTTAAGTACTCTCATCAGATTTGTGTAGTTCTAAACCACGAGCTGAATTTGTGAAATTTTTTTATCAATGTTAGAACTTCTAGTCTACAACCATGTCCGTGTCAGGTCAGCATCACTTTGTTCTGAAATGGTTTAGCTTCTGTAGAGGGAAAGCTATAGCATTAACATGGACTTCAATGGTCTATCTCAATCATTGTACTTGTCACATGGATTGCAGAAGGATTGGGATGTACGCATGGCTTGCTTGCTTTTATTGGCACTAGACACTCCAGACAACTTTTGGCAATTGTATGGTGACTACCTGCCTAGCGTTGATGATAGCAGTAGTCTGCTTTTGGCTTCGGAGGTAAAGGATTTTGTTGACATTAGTTTCGTAGTTGCTGTGTTGTTACATTACTCGTCAGGCATTATACAAGTCGACAAAATTGATCACCTGAGCGTTTAAGGGTTAATTCATGAATTCAGTGTAGCTTGAACGCAATCGCCTATGAATAGATTTGTAGCTTGGCTATCATGCATACATGGCTTTCAAGTTGGAATTGTCCTTCACATATACTGCGTCGCTGGGTGGGTTGCAGGAAGAGTTGCTGGAACTTCAAGATTCTGAACTAGCTCAGCGAATTAGAGACTTGCAACAGCGAGCAGAAACTACTTGGGAAAAGCATTGGGTATGTATCGTTTACTGCTAGTGAGCTCTGGGCACATTTCAATTTTCCAACAATAATAGGGCATGGTTTTCTTTCGACCTGAATAAATAATTTCAATGGAGAGAGTGCTTTTTTGTGCTTCAGCCAGCAGATTCTATATTGAAGTTGAAGAGATTGTCTCGTGAGCCTGGGCGCTTTCGATGGGCACTTGCAACAGCTATGTCTCGTAGCTTCACAATGCCTATGAATGTAGGAACCATTGTTCAAGACGCTAACATGCTCATCCCTTATGCTGGTGAGCCTTTTGGCATGTGGAATTCATCGTCTTGTTCATGATTGTGTGAGGTCTATCTGTGAAGGTAGGTCTGTCTTTTCTCTTTGCAAAATCGGAATCCGTCTTCTGCATAGTTATTTTGCATCATATGGCACGCTCATAATGATATCTCCAAAATATTTTCATGATCAAACCAAGCTTGTTGACTTTGGTGAGTTTTCTCCTCTTCGCCATCTAGTTTTGGGACTTTAGGTTGGCCTCGTTTTGCAGATATGTTCAATCACTCAGTCCAGCCAACATGTTCTTATCGATTTCGGAAGAAGGATCGCATGCTGGAAGTGATTATCAATGCTGGTCAGGAAATCAAGCAAGGAGATGAGGTATATTTTGTTACCGTGGGCTGTTATTCTGCTTAGTTGAGCAGGTGCTGTAAAGTTTCCCCCAAATTGTCCTTGGAATAGAGAATCAATTCTTTGTGTGTATTCCGTGCTATGCAGATGACGTTCAACTATTTGGAGCAGGGCACAAATACGACATTTATGGAACGATATGGGTTCTCCACCGCCGCGGTAAGAACTTTGTTTTGAAGTGCTGTTGTTTTGATTGCTCATTGATAGCGTTAGGTGTCAGTTATTTTGTTCCTTCAATCTCATAATTCAAACCCTGGTCATGGTAGCACATAGCGGGATCAAACCTTGTATTCATAATCAAGCACTGTCGATTGCTTGAACGGCATAGTGTCACTAATGAGTCCGATTTCGGCCGTGCAGAATCCTTGGGATACTCTGAGGTTTTCAGGCAATTCGAAAATACATTTAGATTCGTTCTTGTCTGCTTTCCAAATTGCTGGAATGAAGGATGAGTACTACTATAATGGTATGTATGGACTCAATTCACTTGGGGAACACTCCAATCATGATATTCACTTTCTGCTATTCCGTTGATATGAGGATTGGTACTGAAGCTGATGTCTAATTGCAGAAACTGCTTCCGAGGAGGTAGACCCATTTATTGATGGTACAATCGTCGCAGCAGCTCGCACACTACCAACCTGGGAAGAAAAGGACTTACCTTATATTCCCAGCACAGAAATACGGTCTGCATGTGAATTACAACACGAGTGCCAGCAGCTGCTTGATGACTTCCCCACCACTTTAGAAGATGACACACGATTGCTCAGTACGCCACTGCTCCTCCTCATGTCATATCGTTGACTTTCTATTAACTGAATCATCTGAAATTTCATGGGTTCTGAAGTTTTACAGTTGACGATTCTCGCGACAGTAGAACCCACCATGGTTTTGTTAAGAGCTTCTATTTGTTGTTTTGATAGAAATATACTCGGCTGACTTGGTAATTGATCACGTGCTCATACTCAACTGTGGTTCTACATGCAGATGAGCAAGCAGATGTGAGAAGCCCAAGGTGGAAGGCTGCTATTAAGTAAGCTCCTCACATTCCTTTTCTGATAATCTCGTTTGTAATCCTTTGTTGTTCTATTTCAGAATTGCTTATGACATATGTTTTTTGTTTCAGGTACAGGATAGATCGAAAGTCTTTCATCAAGAAAATCATACAAGCTCTAGATGTGTACATGGAGAGGATACTGTATTAGATGTTTTTGTTTTAATTCATATTATCCATTTTAGGTGACACTTTCCATTGGTTACCATTACTTCCAGTCTCCGTTACGCTGGCTGATTGTCTATATGTTGAAGGCGTGAATTGAGGCATCGGGTGAGCACCCAATTAACATGTTAAGAGTGTATTGCTGCACCCAGTTACCGGTTCTCAATGGGGTTTTAAGTCTCTGATTCTATAGCTTGTCAGTGTGTACTCCAGATCTTACAAGTTTAACCATACAATGTCGGTTTAACATAATAGAGACCTGAGTGTGGACTTGACACTCTCGGATTAAAACAACAATGGATTTTAAAGGATGTGTGGGCACAGAATGGTGAGAAACTTTGCCTTCCGAATTCAGCATTTTCACGATCAGGAAATGGAAGATGAGTAAGTTTCATACAATTGTCTTCTTATAGAAACTGGTCTGCCATGTGAAGTGTGAATTGTATGTTTCTCTCTAATATACATGATGAATTTCCGCCAGTGATCCTTAACACGACTTAACTCTATTCCTCCACCTCTTTAATTGGTTGTAACCTGATCACGATCCATCGTTAAACTTCTTAACGTTGTGAGAACTAAGTTTTGTGAATGAAATGTAGTTTCTTCCTGGGATGCCACGTGGTGATACACTGCGCTTATTGAACCTCTCAGGCTGAGAAGTTGTCCATAAACTAACCTCCATTGTAGCATGAGTGAATAAATAAATGAGTACAAGGATAAAGTAGTCTTCTCTCCACTTGTAAATCCTATTGCTATAAACTACAATGAAAAAATGTTTGAGAGATGTACAAGCACTCTCCATGCCCCAATTTTTTCTGATGTAAAATTTCATCCTATAGTTACACTAAAGGGCTTGTTCAACGCCTTTGTACAACCTCAGACATACAGGTATTGTGATGTGATGATGAAGCAAGGCTCCTCGTTGCTTACAGGCTAAAGCAAAATTGCTTTCACTAGAACACTCAAAAGATGTTCACCATACCAACTTCCATGTCACAATGATACTTCGGTAAGAAATACAGAAAGACATGCAAAAAGATTTGTAGTCTAAATAGTACTGAATTACAAACCTAACCTTCACAACTTTCTTATAAAAGATTTTTTAAAAAAATATTTGATTAGTCATAATATATTTGTTTCAAATGATTCAAGGCTTTGTAACATTATTTATACAAATATATCAAAGATTGGTTTTTAAATGAATACACGTAATTAACATGGAGAAAAACCATGGATGATCAAAACATATCACTTTTTATGGTGTTGTTAGATGTTCATTATGCCAAAGTATTGAGACTAAGCATAAAATAGCAAATTGTACATGCACACAGACATTGATTGTTTATGAAATGCAAATGTTAATTGGGTTTATAACCTTCTTCATGGAATTCAGAATGAAAAATTAAATTTGCAGAAGTTAAATGTTTGATAATGATGAATAACTTTGGAAACACTTTATTTTTATGCATCTGGCTACCAACAATAGATTATTTTAGAACCACCTGATGGAGGCATTTGGTTGAGGTAAAATGTTTAAGTAAATAGTTTCCACACCTTGAAACGTCATTATCATCGAACTTTGTTTCCACTTTGAACTGCCCAGTATCTGATTACATCACATGGGTTGCATTTTGTTGAATATTCATTACTCCAGCTTCAGAACCTGCTAAGCCATCATTTTTGGTTGTTGAACCTTACACAATCTTACAAAAGAATTGTGTTTGCTTTCAGAATCTCCATAATTAAACAAAGGTTCACAGAGTATAATATTAGCCAAAAACCCAACCTATCACATTGGGTTGCTGCAGATCAGCATCACATCCTGTCTGACGAAGAAACCGACGTCCAGTGAGTCACACTTCGAAGGATTCCAGTCATACCTCACATGGTCCACATTGTGTGACCTCAAGAAATGCATGGTTTACATCAGTGACAAGGACCAATACGGCAATGTTCTTATTCCGTGCACAGAAAGCAATTTAAGCTTCATTCCAGTCGACCTGACAGTACTGTTTCTGGACCTAATGCTCAATGACTAGAGGTCGCCGCCAGTCCATCCCCCGCATTATGCATAGAAAACTTAGTCTCAAGTGTTGAACATTTCTGAAGAGCCGCAGAGTTTAGTCGAAGAGGTTTGGGTGAATTCAGTATTGAAGGTTTGGTTTCTGGACGGTTTTAGAGATGGCTGTGATGAGCACTGAGGCTGGGCAGCAAGGGGGAGTATGTGAGATGACTGACGAGGAGAAGAGAGAAAGGCTGCTGCGGACTTACAGAGCGCTGTGCGAGGAAAATTTTAAAGGAGTGCCGGAGATTTCCAGTGAAGAGCTGCTGCAGATCCTGACTCACCCTTGCGCGGATGTGAGAGCATCTGTCGTTCTCGTAGACTGTCGCTCCGAAGCTGAACAATCTGTAAGTTGTGTGCAATTAGTGCCAACTTCAAGAGTAGTTTGTTTCTCTCTTATTCTCTCCCATTATCTGAGTTTGGTATGTTGTTATTCTATGCGATGAGAGTCTCCAAGCTGATCAAGCAGAACATGGGATTGTGTGCAGGTTTCTATCTTTCCAGGGGCAGTGACAATGATCGAAGCGGAGCAGAATCTTGAGAAATACAAGCAAGTGGAGCTCATTCCTTACTGGTAAAAAGATATGGCGGGTTCTTTCCCTTTTCTCTAGTTCCTGTCTTATTTTCACACAAGACAATCAGATCTCCTCATGGCCACAACAGAATGTTTTTGTACCTCCGCAAGCTGAAACTTTACAATCTATGTACTCATTTGCCAATATTCATTTTAAAATTATGGACTTCAAAATCAAAGTGTTATCGCCAACAATTTCGTGCGTGTCAGTGGCTTGCAGTGTAAGGGTTCCAAGTTCCATCTGTAACTACCCCATGAACATTACCCAGGTTGTAAGTTCATCAGTAAAATTAAGAAAATATAGGAGACAAGGCACTACACGTAGCAAATCTTCCAGCCTATGCACAGCTTTAATTGCAAATAGAGTGGACTAAAGGGAGTGGTCCTCAAGAAAACTGACGGTAGCACTATCCTGAACTACACAAGATAAATACCATAATTTCGGTAGCATTGCAATATCTGAGACTAAATTCAATATTCATGTAATTGCTTGATGTGCTGATCTGATTGGAGACAGACGTTTTTGATGCAGCGCCATCGGGAGACGGTCGGGGTTTTTTACGAAGAAAATTCTTGAGAGAAACCTCGGTATCAAGATCAGGAACCATGTAGGTGGAATTCTTGATTGGAGCCATGTGAAGGGCCCGCTTGTCGATCCTAACACGCAGCAAGAGATCCAACGAGTGCACGCGGGTGGAGCTTACCATTTGAAACATCTACCCAGCTTTGGCAATCTCGAAATCTTATTACCGCAGGAGTCATGAGCACCAATATATTCAACTGAGTTGGAACAATCATTAACTTAGGCCGCAGTGAGCGACACGTGAATGGAGAATACTGCTCCATTGAGAATTAATTTTGGAAAACTTTTGTAATTATGATACCCACGAGAATAAACCCCTTATGGCAATACAAATTATGTGCAAGAATTATGCGCAAGTCTGATAAGGATTGTGTTATGGTCAATCAAATACAAAATACAGGATGTGCTCTGGACTTTCAAACCTGCTGAGTTCTTAGATCGACCAGCTCAACCCTCGACAGAACTGACCCGATTTCAAAAGACCATCAAACCAAAACATGAACTGAACGATGAGACAACGGAACAAGAGATGTAACGTGAATAAATTAGTTAGTGGAAATACTCAACCAAGCTTTGAGAGTGTGGACAGGTATCAACATGTAAGTATAAACGTCAAGCGCTTGCAAACGAACACTAATTCAAGGGAAAAAACCAAAGCATCAACAGAGACCAATACAAGGTTTTGTTACAACAGAGGTTTTATACAAAATTGAAAACCAGATAAGGTAACAATAATCAGTGAAGATTGACCCAGGAGCACAAACTCAGAGCACAAACTCGTTTCAGAAATTAGACCATGTGATGAAGGATGATACCAAAGTTAACCTACATCTACAATATAATAAGAGATGCTAATCTCATTGTAACAAAGAGCACCCATGCACTGATTAAAAGGGTGCTTTTGTTGTATGTGAACTTTGTATAACGGCTGAATTTGAGATAATTTTATAACGTTTCCAAGTCGATTCGGCAGAAGGCCTCTCTGTATCGTCACAAAGCACGAAATTAGTTTAACATGACAACCCAAATACATAGCATTCGATGGTATTTCTCACTAACAATGGAAATAAATAAATAAACAAACAAAAAATATCTCGGATCCATAAATTAGTTCTGAGACACAAATATCTATGAAGTCTTACACAAATAAGATATTTTGAAACTTTCCAAAACAGAGCCTAATCAGAAAATAATAATGAAGCTTTAAGTTAAAGCAGCTTCATACCTCAACAAAGGAGATGCAGAATAGACCTATCTGCAAATGAATGTTGAACTGAACACACAACAGGTGTTACAAGAATTTAGTAATTATTGAATCCTGATTACATTCAAGGTATTCAAGGTGTTCAGTGTATCACCTGAGTAACCAAATTGGAAGATAGCGACCAGCATCACAAGCCAAACAGTCAAAAACAAAGAGGTGATACATTATTGAAGGTACGAAATCAGGTCAAGAAGCAACATTGATGCAGAGGTTGTGGCTGGGGAGAAAACTTGATGTTCATTGAAGACAACTATACGCATGAAGCACTAAAACAGAAAGTCGAATGAGGAAACACCAGGCAGATTCTGTGATCCCAGACATGCTGACCGCAAGATCATTATCAAGTACACCCAACACAAAATGCAGGGACCTCAATACAAATGAAGTGAGCATCACCCATAGTTGATACCTACCACACAATCAACTCCGAAATTATATAGAGATATCAACAAAAAAGAAAACTAAATCAAAAATCGAAACAAGCCTGTTTGCACATGGTACGAGGAAAATACCATATGAAACAAATTTTACTGCATAAGGTGTATCCACTTGGTAAACCCAGCATATTACAAAAGCAGGATGTTTTTGCATCCAGTTGAAAAAAAGAAAGAATATTAAAGAATTTAACAAATACCATAGTACAATCACAAAGTTACATACTCTTACAGATGCTTTGACTTGTAAGGACCATACTTCAGCCAAAGAATAGTGCTTAGGACTACACCTCCCAGTAGGATTATATGTAAGACAAATCCAGCAGGGTCATGAGTCTTTCTTAACTGTGGTAGAGATGTGCTGCGGAGGGCATTAGCTAATGAGGAAAATCGATCATGGGTGACAAGTGCGGAGCCCCTGTCCATTGATGGTACACGAGGAGCTTCCGCTATGGACTTGGGGGGGTACAATGCCCACTGCATTGCCCAGATGGCAAGCGGCCGCATGTACGCCAATGATCTGAAGTAGCCATCGATTGTCCATGCTTCCGGAGTTTGAAACCAATATCTGCATTTATCGATACCAGTTGAATTCAAGCACACGTTTCAGCACGAAAAGAGTGTATATGCTAGACCAGAATTTTATCAAAAGACACTAATGAAGGTTGCCGCGAGTTCCCAATAAGCCCAATCACAGATTGCTCTTCTTTTTAGCTGAGTTAGATCATATAGATCGTATAAAACACAGTGCGGATAAATAGTTCTATTCACAAATTGTAAGATAACTTGTCTTTCTCAAAATGTATCCAACTTAATGGACAGTACATCACCAAGATATATGACGTTCGGAAAAAGATGAGGCTAAATACTCACCCGAGATCAGACCAGCCGGCTAGAAACACACCCTGAGCAGCTGTGAACGCCTGCTCAACCATTCCTTCGTGTATCATAGCTGCTGATGCTGCATATGTTACCCCAGTCCAGATTTCACGTGATTGCATGCAAGTTTCATCCACCTTTCCATTGGGATGCATGCCGTTTGCAGCTCCCCACTTACCACCCTTGACCTTCATCACGTTGAAGTCAAATACTTTCTGTAATGCGCTGCGAGCTTTGTAATCATCGAAAAGAGGTGGCAAACCCGATGCCCAAGCGTACCATTGGCCTGCCAGTTGATCAGCCTGCACACGTGAAGTAAAAGTCAGTTGAAAACTATCACACACTGCACAACCATATCGGAAAAACGACGGGGAAAAACTAATAAAAACAACTTATAATCTCAAGTATCTCAAGTTTGAACTAAATAGAAGAAAGTTAGCCAGAGCTACAAAAGCGACCAAAGAACAAAGCACCGACAGAGAAGTATGTGAGTACCTGAACTGAGTTACTGTTACTGCTTGTTCCACTGTCATAGTTGAAATACTCTCCATTCCAAAGCTTTCGCTCATAAACATCTCTAGCTTGATTAAATTTTCCTTTGAAATAAGTGGCTGCATCCTTATCATCTACAAGATCAGCCATGGCAGCCGCAGCTTGCAGTGCAGCTATCCACAAACCTCCACAGTATGCACTAACACCATGAACAGACCACGTATCATATGTCTGATCCGGGAATCCATCGTTCTCAATCAGACCATCCCGGTCCCGATCAAATTGGTCCATGTACGCCATTGCTGCATATACAGCTGGCCAAACAGCTTTGGCAAATTGTCTATCTCCTGTAGCAACCACATCTCTGTAAACCTGAGCAAAAAAGCAACATCATTCTAAAAGTCAGAAATAATCTAGTTTTTCTCCTAGAAAAGTGCAACATATCTAAAAGAACATGAATAAAGCCTACAATGCTAAGTAAGAACAGCTGACACAATACCTGAAGAACAAACTTTGGATTAAGATCTTTCCAGTGGCTAGTGTCATGGATGTTGTATGCATTAACTTCAACCCAAGGGTCATGTTGCCCAAGATCGTGCGGAACCGCGCCAAACACCTTCCTTATCCCCACGCCCCCGTCAGCCATATATTTAACTTTTTCAGGATTCTGAGAAAGAGTAGCTGCGGCGACATCACGTTGTATTGCAAGTTCCAGCTTCGGAAATAGAGCAAGGAGTGCAAATGACGCATAGAAATGAACGTCATAAGTATTCCACATGATGTACTCAATACCTTCTAGATAAAGGAACTGTCCAACATTCTCTTCACCCTCCTGAAGTAGACTGGGCCCTGTGGCTATTCCAGCCTCGGAGGAACCCAACATTGCTGTTTGCATTTGCTTCAATATCAGGTGTTCCAACGTTTCTGTTTGCATTTGATCAGCAGTCTCCCCGGATTGCAATCGCTCAGTTTCTTGGCTGGCAGCTAACTCCAACTCAGCTTTATCTCTAAGGCTAAACAAAGATTCACTTGTAGGGAATCCAGCTACATGTTCTAATTCAGAAATATATTGAACTTCTTCATCTCCTAGTCCTTGAAGAAACGGATTAAAATCTGCTGAAGGTGCAACATCTGTATTTAAACCAGTATCCTCGCCTTCTTGGTCATTTTCTCTTACTGTGCTTAGGTCAGGACCGGAAGAAGCTGAGTACACATCTATACCTTCACCAACCTTCAAAAGATCCAGAGGGAAAGGGACTTCCAAGCTTGTTGCACTGGATATCTCTTCCTTGGAGGGAGAACAAGGAGCAGAAGTATGTACGGAGGTTACAGTTGAGAGCTCTGACGGTCCTTGTAACGCTGGCAAACCATCTGCAATCGGAGCAGCACCTCATGAAGTAATAATGTTTATATGCACTGCGTTTCATTGCAAAAACAATAAACAGGATATCTCTATGTAGGATAGACATACCAAAAAGTAGATGGAAATACTGAATAAAGGACACAATTCAGTAAGCATGCATGAAATTAAGCTGAATATGACTAGGCAGTATCTCCGACATGCCAGGAATGATACAATCCTCCGTATCTCTTCACTCTGCAACTTCCTTAAATCGCAAACTTGGTAGGAAGTGCATCATGTCAAATCACGAATTTTGGAGCTGCACTGAGAGTTGAAATGTTACATGGCTGATAGATCTTACCGGTCCAGATAGTGCCACCAGCAACTAAGTAATACAACTCGTTGAAGAGTGTGACACGATACCTGAAAAATTTTGAAATTTGAAACTGAGTTCTCGAAGACTAATTGAAAATACCCAGACCCACATACTCGCTTCACACATGACCAATATACTAAAGCACATTGAAGCAGTAGACGATGAGGGAATATAGTTACATGGGGAACATACACGAGTAACCTTAAAATCAGAAAGACAGCAGACTATTTCGATTTGCAATTCTGGTTGCAGATGATAAAGCAATACAAACAGTAGCTCACAAGAATGATGCAATCTTTCAACAAATCATTTAAAAAAATTGACTGCAGCGGGATCAGACTATCACAATCGGAAATCGACTGTGACACATTACGGCTCATAAGCCTAACAGAAAAGAATATCAGTGATTCAGATCGCAGTGATCAGAATGAGGTCTGGAAGAGATGAGTAATTTAAACGATCTTATAGACTGGAAAGGAAATACCATTCAGGGAGTTTTTCATCTTTAAGTACTGGTTGCTGCCAATCTTCTATTGCTATCTCCCATTTCCGATAGTCTACGTGCACACAAGAGGTCTTTTCATCTCGTTCAGAAGCATTTAAACACCATAAAAATATACACTACGAACTTTTGCCTTCGACAAAATAAAGGATAAAGGTATTTGATCTAAAACTCATGACAAGACAACCACAACCCTAAACTTCCTAATTCACGAATTCTCACAACCCACAGCATCCCAGTGAATTAAGATGCAAAGACTGGAATTCAGAAAGATTGCACCAAATCCAGACAAAGAAATTACTGAATGAAAACCATTACAATAGAAAACTTCAATGTCGTACCACGGAGGGCGTCACGTGTCAGTTTGGATGCTGCATCTCCAGCTGTGCCATAGAAGGACGTGTAGCGTCTACAAAATCACTCAAACATCAGGCACGAGTTTTGGAGGATATTGACATGACTGAGCAAACAATTAACATTAGAAATATAATACTTATAGGCTGTAAAGTCCCACCTGTGGTAAGACTTGCCCTTCAAGAACTTGACTTCTGGAGAGTCCCATGCTAACGAGAAAACGACATCACGTTTTTCACCTGGAGGTACCTCTACACGAGCAGCAATCGCAGCACCAATTGCAGAACCTTGACGAGTCGGTGCAGAGGGTTTAAAATTCCAATTTTCTTTATCAAAACTTCCGTTCTGTTAAAGTTGGTGCACCATATCAATAGAAGAAAGCTTTGTACCCATACCATATTCAAACGCCAGAAAAGCCAGAAACGTTTCCTTGCACGAACTTGATAAGTTACTTGTGTCACTTATTTAATGCTGTAAGTGACAGTTCCACAGCATACTGCTTCCCTGTTTTAACAACTCCTTGCCATGATTCTATAATAGCTTTACTCGAACAGTTTGCAATTGATATGAAGACTTTCATGACGGCAAATAATCAAGTAAAGATCGAACACTACCTCTTTCACTTCTGTCCACATGTCTTTTGCAGTAACTTCAACCTCTTTACCCCCTAGCGAGAAACAAGGACAGGTAGTCAAGGTCACATCACGCATTTCCTTTGCTGCGATGGCAAATGTAACAGGACGGCCCCCTTTGGCACCAGTCCTGCATACAACAACATCCTGCTAATTAGCATCAATAAATCGCGGGTTGTAAGTAGAACATCCAAGGAAAAAATATAAATAAAAATACAAAAAATAAATCTATCGTAATATTTTGAAGTTTGAGCTCAAGAATCATAAGACTAAAATAAATAAAGCATTAATTAAAGTAGAAAATTTTCCTAGGGCGTCATTCAAGACCAAGTATCTTTGTTAAAATTTAAAATTCAACGTGTAGCGTATTAACAACTTAGTAACTATTCATTTGCAAGGCAAAAGATAGATGGATACTTGTGATGAAGACGAACACCACTCACACCACCTTCCTCCCTGCATGTTTTCCAACGAATGTAAAATGAGTGTAAAACCAAATTGTAATATGATCTTCTCACAAAAACTTGAAACACCGTATGGTGTGAGATTCAAGGGTTTCCCTTGCACTCACTCAAAAGGCTCATTGAAGTGTCCACCAGTAGTAGCTGAGTTTCCACCAATAGAATTCTGTCACAGAAGGCAGCAGATTAGAGCTGAATATACGATAACTCGTTAACAATCAAACTTAGGAAAAGAAATAACTTGAATCAGCAAAACGCAGCAAACACTGTGGCCAAACAATAATGAATATAATGCGCCTCACATACAAAATAACAAAATGTAATAATATGCCAATTACTTTGTATCCTTCTTGTCTACTATACAGCACTTTGGAATTTTAACAGGGCACTTATTCTACCCAAAAACAAATCATAGTACGATTCACTTACAGCCCAAGTGAAAAGGAGGGTGACATCTGCAGCTTGTTTGCCAGTATTCATGACCTGAATGAAAAGATATAAACCAAACATGAGGATTAATTAGATGATGTCCATTAATTTTAAAACACGGAAAGTCAAGAGACAAAATCAAGAGATCTGTGGGTATTCATGTCAGGAAGCCGAAACCAATACTCACCACGTAAGAAAACACACAACAAGGAAAGCTACTTTCTTCGTAATTGTGAGGAATAAATGGAGAAACTTGCCGGCACGATATTTTTAGGTCTGGGTCTGGTTCACCTGTTCAAATCAAGATACCTAACCATTTCAGGCAGATCTACATATACTGACTTGCTGGACAACAAGTCAAACATGAACAAAGTGTAGAATGCGTAAGGAGATTTCAGAACACATTCGCGGATTCAGGTCATTATTATTTAGAACTACTGGCTAGAGATCTGTGAAAATCAAAAACTCCTACTATCTTTCAAGCTCGAATATGTTAAAGAGTCATCCAACTTCAAAAATGAACTATGCACGTGAATCTTATTCCTACATGAACCAGAAAAGAGACACAAAAGGAATACCGTAAGTACCTTCATATATTGTCCACGCACGGGGGAAAAGAGCATGATATGTTGAGTTCTGGCCATCTAGATTCCAGTCCCAAGACGATACACTGGTATCATCTTTCGTACTGTCAACACAACATAAAGCATTATGCTTCAGTATTTCAATAACATAATTAAGATCAACAAACACCAGCCAATAGGACCTTACTCAATTTCATAAAGTGTTGAATCAATGGATCTCAGAATATCGTCTTTGCAGGGCGTACGTACATAGACACCTGTTTCTTTAAGGACACATAGTTTACGTGGTCAATTGATGTGTCTGCGAACCAGGAAGGTGAAGAAAAAAAAATCTGGAATCACTAATTTTCTTCCGAACGATAAATTTCATTCATATGTTCATACGGGACTAGCTTTGACAATCGCGTTACTTTTTTAGTAATTTGCCAAACTTAATGGCCGTAAAATAGCAAGCTTAATATAAATCAAATTAAATCTAAAAAAGCATTACGGAGCCTATGAAAGAGAATAGGTAGGTATCACATATTCATCATGTTCCGATTCTCCTCTAGATTCCACATACATAAAAAAAATTAGTTTACAGCTCAAATTCAAAATACTATTTTATTGGTATTTCTAGCTCTTACTCTGAAAGTTCTTGTGGTCGACCAGGGTACAGCACAGATGCATCTTTCTTCACAACTCCATTGCCCTTATCACGTTTAACAAAAACCTACATCAAGAGCTCGAGTTGAGAGAAGTTTCAATCATGAAGAAAGTCACTTCCGACAAAATAATATACGCACCAATCACGAAATCAGTACATTGAAAACCTTCTGGCAAGCATCGTGCCATTGAACTTTCAAAAATCCATCGAATTCGATTGGTGAGCTCACGAGCATGTTTCATCTGCAGCCTGTTGGTAGCAGGTACGCATGACATACCCAACCCAAATACTTTGAAAAATGAAAGCAAGATATGCATCGAAAACCACGGTAGATAAACACTACATACTTTCATGAAAAGCTGTCACAATCGGCTAAAAGAACAAGTCCAATATGAAAAATAAAAATAAATAATACCGAAAATTGATCGGCTAACACGGGAGCTTCCTCACAGACGCCAGGAATTAACTGCCATCTTCTAAAATCCCCCCTGAAGCCACGGCCTATACTTCCACCCCTGCATCACGAGGCAAATATCACTTCGATGAACATGCAACTTCTAACATGGAAAAGCAGCCTTCATCAGCAACCATTATCAGATTTCTTTAAGATTATACATAGAGAGAGTCTTGGTGTTTTGAATGAAGAGATAATTTGCAATAGGATGGAAAGAAAACTGCAGAATTGTAGCTTTCCGTCACAAGTAGGCGAAAATGGTAATGATCCAAAAATTTGTCTACTCTGCCGCTAAAAGCACATCAACAATGGGCCGTTTCTAAAGCTTCCACCGAGCAAAAGGATGCACTGACCCCATTCCACCGCACGGTACACCATGACAAGCAGAGGGCTTCGTCTCGCGATTGAAAGGATCAATTGGAGGAGCCTGCAATTGCAGCACGAAGTTTGAATATGTCAAGATATTGAAGGTAACCGCGCACAATTACAATTTGACTTAATCACGTGAATTGCAGGATTTTCAGATAGTAAAAAGAAATTGATCTTCAATAAGAAAATTCCTTCCGTGTCACATGAACTGTGAACCACAACGAATCAATTTCCTTCAATTCAAGAAGAGAGCAAGAAGTTTATGAAACTGCTTGACAGTGAAGAGTACAAACACTGACACAAATGGCACATGATGAGTAGAAAGAAGCCATTGATGCAATGTAAAGAGAACTGTACGCTGCCAACAAGTTTGATGATAACCAGGTTGAACATAATTTACCCGGCCTTGAGCTCGCTCTGACTTCACATAAAACCACATACGCATTCCTAAAGTTATCTGCACATTCACAAAATTTTGCAAATGCTTTACATAACCAATACATGCTCCAATGTGATACCCTAATAATCACTATAAATTTTAAAAATGTTTCCTCAACTCAATCTGTAAAAATTAGACCAGTAATAATAACCCATCTGAATCAGCGAAACAGTTGATCCAAAAATGCAGATCTTGCTGATATATTTCCATAGAGTATAGTCAAAGGGAGATAATAATATCCCAAAATTCTACAACAAGGTAACAACAGTCTTCGCAGGTAATCAAACAGGGTTTTATCGCAATTACAATTCAAGCCAACAACCAAATCCCATAGCTCTGACATGATAGAGTTCTTACCATTCTCACAGCTTCCATAAAGGTGACTCGAAACTCTGTCAGGAAATCAGCATGGCTGTTAAGCTTGCGTCGCCATGCTAGTGCAGAAGGGGCCCCAGGATCGTGATCCAACTGTTCAGACAAGAAAAACACTGAAATGTCAGGACATAAAACCTTTCAAAATATTGCACATGCTAATGTTAGGTTTGTGCCCTCTAAAACTGATAACGCCACATTATTCAGACAGCAACTCAATAGTTCATGAGAACAACACACTAAAAACATTGTGGCTAATTTCTGAGCCCCTACATTTGCTCTGCAACTTCAATATGCTTCGCTGCCACCCATAGCATTCATGATTCATATATCTGAATCCAAAAATGATAATTTCCTGCAATCATATCTAAGAGTCCGCTAAAATTCAAAAATCAAGATTCACACGCCAATATCATATTTACTTTGCCTGCTGTAATCTGAAAACCAACAGATTTAAAGAATCATTTACGTACCATGGCCAAAGTTGGCTTGTGCACATACTCTGCAAGAGGCCATGATGGGCGACGGCCATGGAAAGTATTGCTACGAATTGCTCTTGGAGAAGAAATTCCTCCAGGAATTGCCCTTGGAGATCCTCCAGGAACTCCTCCAGGAGACGACATAGCTTCCAAGGTAGAGTATATACTACTCTTTCTTTGTCAAAATCTTAGAAGCATCTGAGATCGGGCGAATTCTCAAGTTCAAACCTTTCAAATATTTGCAGATAGTACATCACCAAGGTTGCATGAACACCTGCATGCACAGCAGCCAGTTATATCCGCAACCAATCCTCAAAAACACAACATTTGTACAGGAAAATGATACCACGAATTATGTGCAAGGCATTTAGGTCCTTCCGTTATGCCAACCTCATCACGAGTTACAATACCGAATATAAGAGTACCTCGTGCGGACCACTCTAGAAAAAAATGATGTCAAACATCGTCATTCAGAAAAATTAATCTATGTCTGACATCTTCTGCATATAAAACTTTATTATTCTTCCCAAGAACATATTAAGTATTGACCCAAACATGGACAAATGCATACAAATTTTTCAACAATTCTCTGTGTAACCAAGAGAATTTCTATAATCGCTTTAACTGAACTTTTTTTCGAGCTGATTCGCAGAACTCATTCATTCCGATTAGCACAACAATAATTTGAATCGAAACCCCGAGACAATCATCACCACAGCTTGCAAATGAGCCATAAATTCAGGAAAACGTGGAATCAACCTGATGCGAATTCCATTCTAACTCGCTGAAAAATAATGTATGCAGAGCACAGGCAAGATTGGAATTTCTGCATTGCAAAATGCTCACAATGTACAGAAATAAGACACAATTCAGAAGTGAAATCAATCAGAAGAGAATCCAGCGATATGTCCAGCAGCATGCTCAGATCAAATTAGACACCAGAGTGAACAGAAATATAAGGTCTAAGCAGAAGACAACATGTTCGTAAATGAGCAAAACTTTGAACTTTCAAGCACATTGCGCTGACATCTAGATCCTCCCAAAAGCACAAAACGAAGAAATTATCCACGTCGAACGGATTCCAACAGAACGCCCTACAAACAGAAGAGAGATATCGTGGTTCAACGAGCATAAAAAGGTCTAATGCTACCTATTCTATCTGGAGAACATAAGAATACTTGACCAGTAACACCTTTCTGAATTGATTAACAAAGATATAAAAACGATTAATTCAATTTTCAGCTTCGCAACCAAAACTCAAGCATTAAAACAAAGAAAAGAATAATCATAATTGTTTTTTAAAAAGTTCACATTAAGTTACATGTTAAGGATTATTACAAAATGAAACTTACTTGTCCGCAGTTTCGACACATGCTATTCATACAAGCGCAGAAGCACGCAGAACACACTCAGTTTCAAATCTTCCGGAACACAAAGCTCAATTCAATCCCATCCACAAACTATTCAGAAAAAATGAAAAGAAATTAAAAAAAAAAAAAAACAAAACAAAACAAAACAAAACTAACACCCCCTCCTCTCGCCACTTCGTCAACAAAAACACATCGTGCCAAAATGCAAAAAAGAACACACCAGCCTGAAGTCGACTCCACCTCAACCACCGCATAATTCCAACAAGTATTCAAACTCACATACGCACACACACTCACACGCTCACTCACCTCAACAAGATCACCCCCTATTCCAATCACACTTCCATTGCGTCCTAAACCAAGACCTCCCAATTCTCGTCTCAAACTTCAGCTTTCCTCACACTCGTCACCACATTCGAACAAGCCAAACCATGTCTGCAGAGTAATGCTGTACCACTACGGATTAAGGCGAACGGATTAATTACAAAATACATCTACCAAAAAAAAGGAAATCCGGTCGGTTTCTTTAGCCCACGGTGGCCGTAATTCCGCACCTAACAGCGCAAGCGTGGTGTCGGCAAATAGCTTGGATCCTCGGCAACGAGATCCCGCACTCCAACGCACAGATCCCCGACTCGCTCGATCGCTAAACGCCTCCAAGCGCAACAATTCCCGCATGCACACACACTGCCCCTGCCCCCTCCCTCGCTTGCTCTCCTTCCCTCCCCTTTCCTTTCCTCGAAGCCCGGACACTTTGGCTCCCGAATCTGGTCCAGTTGCTACTACTACAACTGTAGGGCCTCAGTCCCCAATTTTAAAAATGTAACCCTCCATAAACTAAATCTTAACCCTCACTAATAATCGGAAATCAAACTATACCTCTTCTTGTTCACAAGGCACTGCTCCAAAGGAAGCGAAGCCGAACGGGAAACACGCCGCTCCTCCCCCACTTCCACGGCCTTGTACGCCCCTTTCGAATGAACACACGGCTTGTTCTACGGTTTAAGGGGGTGAAAAGGATGAAGACCAATCAGATTCTTAACACGTGGTACTTTCATGAGTGAATAGTAACGCGACATGTCAGCCGGGGTTTGTTGTACAGGTCAGAGGCCGCTGGCTCTGTTCACACCGGTTTCGTGTCCCCTTCCTGGAGGTTGCTGGCAGCTTTATTGACTCGAGCTGGTTGGGGATTCCGCTAACTTCAACGAATGGTTGTTTGATTTAGCCCCACAAAACGACTGTTGCTCATACGGATTTTGACTCGTAGTAGAAGAAGAAGAAGAAGAAGAAGAAGAGGGAGAAGAAGACGACAACGGCGACGACGAAGAAAACGAAGAGCATCGTCGCCAGTGGGTATTTCGAACAAACGGCTTCTTGTGATTGGAGTGCGGAAAAATTCAAAGCAGACGTCACTATGTGGACAGTGTACCGCTGCGCATGATACGTATCGTGGCGCCCAACCGATTCCTCAACATTCACAGCGAAATCTCCACGGATTCACTCAACCCCCCCCCCCTTGTGATCACGGATCTTGTGGTTGTTCAGCAATGGACCTTGTGCTTAATTTCGTGCTCCAATTCTAATCGCGTGTTACACTAGAGTTGGTGCATCCACTGCATAAGACGCTAAGCATGTTGTTGCAGTTCTCCACAAGCTTTGTTGTTCATCATTTGAATTTGAAATTACTGGAGGGGTTTTGTAGAAGGAAATTGTGTATTTGTCACGAGGAGCAGAGAAAGTTGGAAATCTTCCTTCATCAACAGTTGTACAGGCTTTCTACAAGTCAAAGTTACAATCACAAATGTGTATAAAACAATCTATTATTTCATATAACAAAAAGTAAATATAAAGAAATGTCTCTGTTATTATTTTTTGTTTACCTTTAATTGTTTTACAATGATTGCATTTGAATATGTGTATGAAATAAAAGAATATCAAGAGACTAATTTTGTCAGCAACTGGGGCATGGAGGCAATGAGGCCAAAGACGGGAGACAAATTGTATTTTATTGTATTTGCATTTGACAAAACCACTCCCAAAACCATCAACTACCAGCTAGCCATGTTGGGATTCATGTGGGTAGTGGTGGCAAAGAGGTTGTCAAGCAGCATGAGAAAAGGTTGTGTAAGATGTTGTCTTTGGTGATGCTAGTCCATAGAGAAGATAGATCATTTATATTAGCAAGGGCTTAGACGTGGAACCAACACTCATAGCTTAGTCGGATGGGGATGATGCGACCTCATTCAAAAAAAGAAAAAATGGAAAAAAGTTTTTGTGAAGAACAACAAAAGAGGTGTCCACAAGGCCATGGCAATGTATAGGTTTACACCTCACACTTGGCCAAGGGAAATAAGTACATGCTCTAAAAGTGTCATTTCAGCCTTAACAAGGCATACTTGTGCAGACACATACACTAGATTTTATCATGGGAATGAAGATGGAAGGGGAGGGGGGTTTGGGATGGGAGACAAAGAACAAGGAAGGAGAACAAGGACAAGTGGGAATGGACGATAAAGTTGAGAATGGACAAAATCAATCATGAAAAAGCAAGGGGCAGGGCTTTAACAACATTGAGATGTGGCTTTATCAACTCTCTTATTTATTTATTTATTTATATATATATATATATATATATATGCACATATACTAAATATACCAATTTTGAACAATAAAAATCAAACCTCAAGCAAAAGAATGGTAGATAAACATGCACACAATTTTTTCTCACTCTTTATATATATATATATATATATATAAGTATTATGATTATCATTATTTACTTTGAAATAAAAAGTAGACAACATTTTCAGATTGATTTTTCAGCACAGAAGAAAAAAATGGAAAAAATGGTTTTTGAAAAATCATGACAAGGAGTGAATCTAACATCCAAACATCAAAGTTACCAACAAGAAGATGGGGACTCACATGAAAAGTGTTGATGCATTCAATTCTCAAATAGATTTTTGAATAATACTGTCCTTCACAATAAATCTCTAACCTTATTGATTGGGGCATTTTGTCTTTTCTCAAATTTCCACTTGTGCAACTATCAAATGCAATATTTTATCTAATCAAACTATTGGAACATGTCTAACTTCTATATCATCCAGCATAGCCATCATATTGCCACTTCATTTTTGTTACCACCATGGTTTATTTGACAATTCTAATTTTGCATGAGGATTTCTGGTTTTTTTTATTAGTGTATTATTGAATTTAGTTGAATTGTTTTGAGTGAAACTTTCATTTTGAGTGAATGCAAAAAAATTGCTCACTGAAGGTTTTTAAGCATTGGAAAGTCAAACAAAATTTTAATATGGAACAAAGATCACATTAAAGAATAAAAGGCATATAGTTTACATCTCTTTACAGTACAATTACTTTAACTAAAAATCATAATATAAACTTCATATCTGTATTCCCAATGCTCATCCATGACTGCATTAAGCTTAGGTTGATCAGAGAGGATAAAACCTAGAATATGTTCTAATATTAAATGATAATGCCAATTACTGAGATTGGTATGAATAATTTTAATTATATTATTATTATTATTATTTATTTACGACCATTATGTCATTGTTAATAAAAGTAATTAAAATGAACATAATCATTAAGATAACTAGTGCTTAAACCGTTTGCTTTGCCATTGTTGAATACGTTTCTAGCAGCCAATCAGTGCCCCTCATTGCAATTTAAAAAAAAAAAACAAAAAAACGGTGCCATGTGAATTGTGTTAGCTAGGTGCGGGTTGGATTCATTTGCGCCCCTGCGGCCACTAGCCCAACCCGTTCCATCTTGTGATCCAAGTGATGGGATAATTTGGCAATAATTAGGCTTTACCACCCTACTGCTTCAACCAATGGAATTTTTTGACACTCTAGCCAAACGTAGGTTGGTCAATTTTTTAGGAATATAGATGATAAAAATGTTGGTCAATTTATTCTTTTTAGAAATAAAAATTAAATAATAAATATCTATATTAATTTTGTATTAATAAAATTTTAAAACATTGATAAAGTATTGTTGCATGTAGTCCAAAATACATGTTTTTTTCTTCATCATATGTAATACTAGTTGTTGATTAGTCAAATATTTTTTGGTATAGATTTGATGATTTTATTTTCCTATTTATGTACTAATTTTGAATATGTATGTATTTTATAGTTTTTGAATATTATTTTTTAGTCATTAAGTTGAATTTGAACTGAATTTTTCATAGTACTTGAAACAATATTTAAAGTTGGTATGGAGTTGGAAATGGTGTAATTCTATAGACATTAGCTAATATGTTCTAACTCAATTAATTTGGATGTTTTTATGTAATCTAATAGTATTCATTTTTAAAATTAATACATAAGAATATATGGATAAATTGTTTTTTTTTAATATTAAAAAGTTGTTAATATTTTAGAAGCTAGTCAAGAATAACAAAAATAATAAAGTTATATATGCTTCTATTCTACAATCCTCAAAATTACAATGTAAGGATTATAAAGACATTGATTCTTTTGGTACTTTTGTTTTTATATTTAATATAGATTTTTATTCATGTATACGTATGTTATTTATAAAAAATACCATAGTAAAAAAAAAAGAAACATAAGATGCATTATTTCTATATCAATAAGTGACTTGTAGCATTTGTTCTTTAAATTAGTTCAAAAACATTATTTTCTTATATCTTAGAATAGCTAAGGTAAATTTATTTAAATAAATTTTCAATAATTTTTATAAATACAAAATCTCAATAATGGAGGAGCAAAAACACACTTTTTTAGTCTTCCGTTAGCAAAGAGAGGGGTACAAAAACACTTTCGTAGTCTTCTTTTGGCAAAGGAAAGAGAGAAGTGCAAGAATTGATGTCTTTTGTATTATGATGTACATCTTGTTTGGTGCATGCTTAGGATACTTTTTAGAAAATCTTTGAGGAAGTTAGCAACTTTAGTGATTAGAATGGTAGAACCTTAATTGTGTGTATATTGGTTTAGATTGAAGTAAAAAATCTTTGTATTTATTTATTTGTTTGTGTGTATGTGTATATGTGCTTTTATGTTTGTTTTCTTAACAAAGTATTTCAATAATTTAATACTTGTCATGTAATATTTCTGGTCTTAAAAAAAATTCTACATAACATTCTTATTAATTAGTATACATAAATGCAAAATTTAGATTGTTGTTAATCTTGCCAATACTTTTTTTATACATTGATTATTATTTAATTTTCTTTTAGTGTTTTTGTACTTTGTGATAGCCATTTTAATTCTTTATTTTGTTGTACAAATGCCATTGTTTTTCTCTCTATTCTTAGTTGTATATGTGCTTCTTTGTAAATTTGTCTAGATTTGTGTTTTACATAATAATCTATATTTACATATAATTTTTAATATTAATTATAACTTGATGATATTTCAAAATCAAATTGCTTCTAATGTGGATCAAATTATTCTGTAACAATACATTTGATACATTAACTTTCGTTTTAATCTTATTATCATCAAATTTTTATTTATTATGCTACAAATAAGAACTAATGTAGCCACACACTGAATAATTTGATCCACACCAGAAACTAAGTTTATATTATGTTTGTTATGTTTGCAAACTTAACTTTATTGTATAATATTATGGCCGGTCGATACTCTTACAAAATTCTCACTAATCGTGTTCTGTTTGATCGCGGTAATACAAGCGAACAGCATCACCATTGTATTCCGATCGATTCAATTTAGGGTTTCCCACGTTGTTTGCGAAATGTGGGATCATGTACGTTTTCCTTGAAGACTGTCTCGAGAGATTGGAAATTGGACTTTGATAACAAATCTGACGCAGCGCTCAGTTTGCGTCACTTCTAATTGCAAATTTCTTGATGGATTGGTTACGCACACATTTTATTAAAGCGATATACAACGTCTCCAGAAGGCAAAGATTTCCAATGATCTTTGAATTGTCTTCTCATGTATGAAGAATCTTCCTGGTAATCTCAAGCAATTTTTTTTGACATGGCCGAGTCTGTCAGTTTGATATGTATAGTCGAGATTGTACCGTTGTTATATTCACATCTTGTTGCATGAGATGGATTAATTTAGTAGTCACTTAGTAGAAGTTCTCAGCAAGCATTTGATAGAGTTTTGTTTAAGAGCGCTCTTTTGTGTGTATTTGTGTGTGTCGAATTGTACCTTCGACATTTGTAGCGGGACGTGATGATAAATTGTTGCTGTAGGGCATTGTTTATTGGTTTAGAGTAAGTTTTGGTAGCTGATTTAGGTAGCTTTTCATCAATTTGAGGGAGAAGGTATGGCTCAGGGTTGGGAAGGGTCAATTTGGTTGAATTGCTCGTTCTGGGTGGATTTCTGTCAATGGTGAATCGTCTGTAGGATGAGTAGAGTAATGTGTGCAGTGCACACGAGGATCGGTTTTTCTTAAAGCATACTCTTAAACTAATTGTTTCTTACAGTGTTTGCCGATAACAGCTCGAGGATTTTAGCTTTGCCGATTAGAATTAACTGGTTACTCTTTTTCATGGCGCCACAACCTAGTCCTAAGCCTATTCGTGTCTCTAAACTTATTTCACAGAACACTTGAAGTGCTTCTTTAATCAAACACGTGCGGATCGGTAGTAGCTATCGATTTCGGACGATGACGTATATGACTAACTGAAAATCCGTTGGTTCCTTGCATCAGAGACGTTGCCGAGCATATTCGTTACACCCTTTCTAGGCCACACTCAGGAGTTGATGAACTTGAAAGCAACCCTTATCTCTTAAGCATCTTTTGTTAGAACTAAGTCAACTAAGACAATGACACCGATGAGATTAATGATATTGATGTGACAATGACACCCCAATTCGCCTTTGAAATTTAGACAAAGCGCGTCTGTTAAGATTATTTTGGTTGGTAATGATTCTAGTCAGCCTTACAACAGTAGGAGGTCTCGCGAGTGACAGCGACAGCGGCTCCTGAAATGTTAGATGGAATGTAATGAATTGTCTTCGGTTGAGCTCTGTGAGCCTTTTGAGTATGTGCTTAAGGTTTGGATCCTCAGGTTTTGCAGATCATTTGCAAGTATTTATAAGTTCTCAATCCAAACGCTATGTCTGAACAGGTATGTAGTTGCCATCAATCTGTTTTTTTAACCTGCTTTTGTGGAAGGCTCTGGACTTTCGAGGGAACATATTTTGACGTGCTTCCGACGAATTGCAGGAAAATTCGGCTCCGAAGTCTGGAACTTTTCAAGTTTCAGAGGGTGAACACAAGTCTTTGCAAGGCATCGAATCTTGGTCATTTGACGTCTTTCAAGTCGAGGATGATCAGCTACCTATGGTATTCACTACCTTGACTGTATGCATGAATCTGTTGTTAGGTTTATTACTCAGTGTACATGTATGGAGACTGGTCTATTCTGATTGAAACAAGGAGATTCAGAACTACGATACTTCAGTTTATGTAATAGCCATGTGCTCATGAATAATTGGGTTGCAGTTGGTGGAAAAGATCTTTCGAAGCCTCAACATCTTTAATAACTTTCCAATAGATATGCACAAATTTCGAGCGTTCGTCCGTGCAGTGAGTACTTTTTGTACTCTTTCCTATATTTGTTGTTGTGTAATTGTTCATGCTAAGACTAATTGGCAGTAGCGACTTCAAGTTGCACAGATCTGTGCTAATGAATATAAAGAACGGATGATAACGTGAAAAAAGAAAAAAGAAAAAGAAATAGAAAAATCCATTTCTGAATATTTTGCAGATGGTAGCACGCTATCAGCCAAATCCATATCATTGCTTCCGGCATGCTTGCGATGTGCTTCATGCTGTGTAAGTTGGAATTCAACATGAAATATTTGCTTAATTCAGAGAATTCTTTACCACCAAGATCTCGTGTATTGTACTAATCCTAAGCTGTTGTTGCCCTCCAGTACACATATGACATTGTGCAAACCTTGTTAGCCAATATACCCACAATTTTGCTTACAACGTGTGTAGATACTTGATACTTACTCTCGCGGAGGGTGCTCAAAGGCTGAATCAGATGGAAATATTTGCTGTGGCCCTGGCAGCTGTGTGTCATGACGTTGATCATCCTGGGCTTACTAATGCATTTTTGGTTGCTGCTAGTGATCCTATCTCACTCAGATATAATGACAAGGCTGTCTTGGAAAGTCATCATGCTGCCACTGCGTTCCTTACGATGCGGGTAACTACTCTCAGCTTTGAAGCACTTGCTATTCCGGAACAACTCATGGAAAACTTACACTGCTAAGCCCGTATGCCACGATGTTCTGACGAGTTTGCACTTATTGTAGGGGCATGACAATGTGAATATCATGTTCTCACTGGATGAACCTCACCAAAGGCATTTGAGGAGACTTGTTCTATCCTGTATTCTTGCAACAGATATGGGTGTGCATGCTGAGATTATCAGTTCTTTCACAGGACGGTTGAATGATCGTCGGCCCTTTGAACTTTCTGCGCCATACACTCCTCCTGGACCGATGCCCTCAAAGGCTCCTGAACCAAGTGATACAGGTATAGTATAGTTACAAAATCAAGATTTTTAAGGTTCTATTGCTGTATTTTAATACGACGTCTTAGCATGTGACAAATTAGTACAACGAAAACCTGTGCTATCTGCATAAACGTCATATATAAGTTCATATGATTGAATGTAGAAAGTAAGTGCGTATGCAGGGGACACAAAAACATTAAGGGCTGATGAGGCGTCTATGAGTTCAAGTGCTGCACCTCCGAATGATGGCAACACCAATCAACCGCCACCAGAACTCAAATCCCCAAATCCGAAATATCTGCTACCACCTCTTACCAGCAGCTCTGACGTTATGTTGTACATGCAAATGATAATCAAGTGTGCAGATCTTAGCAATGTCGTCAAACCGTTCTTTTTATCCAAACGGTGGTCAGCACTTCTTCTGTTGGAATGGTTTAGACAAGGAGACATAGAGAGAGAACTAGGCATGCGTGTCTCCAAGTTTATGGAAAGGAGTGAGCCTACAACTCTCATGTACGTTCCCATCCCCTTGTGTTCACTTATTTCAAGAGCTTACAATATTACTTGGTTTACTACAGTGTATGTTATTAGAGTAATTGGAAAATGTCATGAAACTTGAGTTCGTTTGCATGGCGGAGGACAGTATAACAAATCTAGCTCCTCACCTAGATCGTTGTTTATACTGCAGGGATATGACTATTGGGTGCATTGACTTTGTTGCTAAGCCCATGTTTGAAGCTACTGCAGTTCTTCTTCCACATCTCCATGATGAAGCTCTTGCTAACCTCACATTGAATCGAAGCCTTTGGAGCAGTTTTAGCATGGGCGGCCGACGAGGCTCTGAGGCAATACATCTACTTCATATCCTTTACTAGTTTCTACAAAATCTGGATATATTATTTGAAAATATAGAGTTGAAGAGTCTTGTTTGTCATGACCTTTAGATTGGTCATCTTGTCACGAGTCTTATTTGACACTTCATACTGTTGCGTCTGTCTGCTATATTGGCACGATACGTACTTTTAAGACACTTACTAACGTCAAAGTATGCTCTGGGTGAATCTGTGGTATCATACATCAATTGTGAGTGATTATCGAATTGGAAATGCAGGTAGCTAGGAATATTCTCGGGCCGTTTCTGCCCCCGCCAATTACTATTGATGGGATAGCGGAGAAGTTTGGCGAAGCTGCTGTGAAAATGGATATCTCATCAAGCTCTCTGCATTATGATATGTACTTGCCAGGTGTTGAGAAGGAATCTCTTCCCATGGCTCCATTGCAACTACTCCCAACATTGTCTCCAGAGGAACCTACTCCCTTGATCAATGAATTACGTATGGATGAGCATCATCCTTCACTTCTAGCGCTTGATTCTAGCGGCGATAAAAGTCAATCAATCAACAAAGGTCCACTCAGACAGGACCGTGAATCTTCAATCTTAGGTGGAGCAGCCCCTTTGAGTTTATTGCGTGTCAACAGAAATGCTTCACTTGATGCCAGCTCAGGCGATGGTAATAACTTAGCTCTCAGAAGTTTTGTGGCACTGAGGAGGAATACAGTAGATGAAAGGAATAGAAAACCGAGCTCCATTTCTCTTCCACCTCCTGGATATAAAGGAACAGAAATGATGACAGATCCCTCAAAAAATGTCGCTCTAGATATTCAGTCTCTGGCCTTTATTCAAGATTCTGCTTGGGATAATCGCAAATTTTGGGACAGCATAAGACGACATCCAAACGGAAAACAACTCCATGCATTCTTGGAATCAAGGTTATGGATTTCCATCAATATAATTGCTACATTTGTGGCAATGTTTGCAAACGATTTTACGAAAGCAATTCTGCCAAAAGCAGTAAGAAACTTATATAACTCATTGCTAAATTCCTTGATTGTTCATCAATTTTTTGTTGTTAAATCCAATTTGTTGAATGATCTTTCTATTGATACATGAACTGCAGGCAGATGCTTATGAGACTCACATCTTGAGTATATGCTTATTCATTTTCTTTCTTGAGATTATAATGCTCTCAATTCTTTCACAGGGCTACTTCCTTGGTTTTTTCTTTTGGTATGTAAGACTGTTTTTTTAACATCTGCAGTGGCATTTTTTTAATTCAAATGTATTTCCAATCGAGTATTCGATTTTGAGTTTACGGACTTAGCACACCCTTCTAGTACTCACTATTGCATTGCTTTCACTTTCAGGCTTGATTTGATTGGAAGCGTTTCACTTCTGACAGTTATTACAAACGTTTACACTCAAAATCTTGTGATTGCAAGGACTGGAAGAGCTGTCAAAGCAATGAATCGATTGAGCAAGTCCATGCAAGCTACGCCTTTGTCTAGCATGTTCCCAATTACTTATATCCTAAAGGTGATCACTAGACTTTACGTACCAAAATCTTTTAGTCTAATACCATGGTCTTCTATTTAATGCTGTTAATAATATTGTTTTGATGTTTCCCCTTTTCATGCTTGATTATGTCAATTCAGTGTATTCATATCTGATTATGTGGATCTTTATGGTCTCAGGTCTTTCATTACAAAAACGTTGTAGTAGATGACGACGAGGATGAATATTTTCATGTAGTGTCTTCAACGAAACCAAGTCAAGTTTGGACTGAGCTTTCGGAGCTAACAGCTCAAAAGCTTATAATTGGTCTGTTGGTTATGATGATCGTGAGTCCTTTATTTCGAGACAACCACCGGGACTTGGGACCTAAAATGTCCCTCAACACTCTTGATGAATTCCATGGTTGTACTGCTCATTTCAATGAGACCATAGACAGAATTCAGACTTTCAATATGCTACATGGCTACAATCTTCTATATATGGGTATCAACGGGATGTGTTGTGGAGTTTCTTGTGCACTTGATAGCGCAACCAATTTTATGCAGATTGTTCCATCTAAGGGTGCAGACGGTAAGAAAGAGGCACAATTGGAATATCGTACTGTGGAACTCAAATCTGTGCTAAGTGACAGCAATCGAACTGAGGCCTTGTATTCCATCCGCAGTGAATTGCGAACCAAGCATGCCCTAAATGTTAGTTTCATATACATGACTTTTCAATTACAGTCAGGAGCATCACTCTTTAGTCACGATATGAGTTCATGATTGGCCTTGCAAATCTAGTAATTTAGAATCAAGTTCAGTACTTCATTGTGTTTCTGAAATCTATTTTTTGAGAATTGTTCTAGAGTTTTGAACACTACATAAACGTGCTCATGGTTGGGTTTCATCTATGCTGGGTTAGTGTTGAAAACAGATGGCAATGACGGTACTCTGGTTGATTATTCTTGGTGCTTGGTCCTTCGTCTTGAGTAATGATTCCAATCGATTGCTGATTCAGGTACAGTACTTAATCTCTTTGTTTGGTCCTCAAAACCTGAAACATAGTTGCATCTGTTATCTGGACTAAGTTTTGGACTTATTGTAGCCCCAACACAATAGCCTATCTTACTTTCTTTATTGTACGCTTTGCGTAATTCCTACATCTTAAATGTCTTAAAGTCAACTTGTTTCATATGCATATTAACACTGTTAGCTCGTACAGATGTTGGTTTAAGAGTGTACAGCCTTGTATTTTGTGATGACAGCCAATTGAACGCATGGTAGAAATTGTGAAGGAGCTTTCGGATGATCCTGTCTCTTTTGCTGCAAGAGCCAATGTGAAGCAACCAGCAATAAGTAGTGTTGGACAGGTTCGACTGTATTTCTCAGAATGTTCTCATGCTCCATACTTTGATATTGAGATTTTGTTACAACAACAATGGAATCAATCCGTTCTCAGTACAGAAGTATGGGTTAGTTACAATTAAAGAATTGTTATCTTGACTATTGAATTAAATGACATATATTGGAGTGTCGATCGTTTTTCTGAGCTGATAATGCTAATCTGTCATCTGCTATGTGGTGTTCAACTCTGGTTTTCCTTAAATAAGTTGTCAAACATATTTGTGGTAGGTGATGGAAACGCGAGTGGTAGAAGCTGCTCTTGTAAAGATTGCAAGCCTGTCAAAGGTGGCACTTGGGGATGCTGGCATGGATATTTTATCTGTTAATCTGAAAGGAGGCAGTGAATTCAATCGTAAGGTTTACATTACTATGACCTTGGTCCTAATGGAATCTCTAGACTTGATACCTTGTATACTATGAATCTGACAAAGAACTTTTTTAGTTAACTCTTTCAATCATGGTATTGTATTTGATGACTGTTCTTTCTAATGCATCCATTCCACATTGTACGTTGACGTAGATGTCAGGTAGTTGTTTGATCTCTACATGTGGATTTGATATACAAATTATTTGTAGGATGGGGATTCCTAAAAGTTTGAAGGATACCCTCGTCCAATCTCTAGTTGTTCCTAATATTTATTGCTACTCCTACTATCGAATCAGATTGATGGCGAGTTCTGGTTTCTAGAGCATGAGACTTTTTTCTTTTGCTTTTTTCATAAAATACGAGTTCTTCATCTCGTAGTTCTCTTCAGTTCTTGTAATTTTAGTATGAAAATGAGTTTTACAAGTTCTAAATTTGTTTGTGTGCCTGTGTCACAGCTATGATTCCTGGGAAAAAAATTCGCGCATGCTTTGGCTTTTGCGACATCCGAAACTTCACAGATGCCACTGAATGTCTTCAAGAAGACGTGATGATGTTTGTCAACAAAATTGCTGATGTGGTTCATAACAAGGTAGTCTTCCATTCAGGTTTTCCAAACAAGAACATTGGAGATGCATTTCTACTTGTTTGGAAGAAAAGTGCGGCTGATAATATTCAAAAGGTAACATTCTTCCTCGAACTCATCTTTGAACTTCTGAAGTTCTTTAGATGACTTGTCATTTTCGCAAGAACGGACTTCGTTTGATTTTGTTTATGGTGGTCCAATCTTAACAAATTCTCATGATTTTATGCTGGCGAACTGTTTGTAATGTTGCATCTTACAGACACGCGGCACTAATTCATTTGCTGATCGTGCGCTTCAATCTTTTTTGGATATTATCCAATGTATAGAGACATCTCAAACTTTAGCTGAATATGCGATGCATCCAGCAATTCAGAAGCGAATGCCTGGTGAGTTACATCCTCAGAGCATGTTATAATGTTGCTTTGGTGAAGCTTATATGCAGCCATGCATGGCTATAGCTGTTTAGTCAAAGAATTCAACCGCACTTCGTTTTCATGTCATATATATATATATATATATATATATATATTCACAAAATATTAACGACGTGATTTTATTGAGCAGGATATAAAATACACATGGGATTCGGCCTTCATGTTGGATGGGCTATTGAAGGTGCAATTGGCTCAGCTCACAAGGTTGATCCTACGTACTTGTCACCACATGTAAATGTCTCCTCGCGACTGGAAGCAGCAACAAAACAATATGGTGTGATGATGTTAATCTCGGAGACCGTAGTTGCAGAATTAACCAAAAGCAGTTTGCGCCACTGTTGCCGCAAGTTAGACCGCATAACTGTGAAAGGAAGTGCTGCACCTATCATTATCTATACGTTCGACTTGCCATTATTTCAACAGGACCTTAAAGGAAACCCAGCTGATTATCGAGCTCTGTTTGAGAACGCGGTTGATAATTATATTGAGGGAAATTGGTCATCCGCTTTGGAGAAGCTTGAGGAGTGCTTGCAACTATGGCCAACTGATAAACCCGGCCATGTTCTTCTCAATTTTATGGCCTCACACAACTACAGGATACCTGCAAGTTGGAAAGGTTACCGAGAACTTACTGAGAAATAGTGAATATAAGTTTTTTTAGGCTTGTACACTAAGAGCAGTTATAGAGAAGCATCACTAATATGCCTTATTAACAATAGAGGTTACGATTCAGTTATTATTGATGCAAATCGTATGCTTTATAGCTTGATGACCACCTGCTAGTATGGGCAAGTGAGGTGAAAGAAAAACTTTGCTTCCTTTTCACCTTGTGTGCTCTCTCTTAGAAGCGACAAATTTAAGTTGCAGAGACAACAGTTCAATTTAAGTTGCAGAGACAACAGTTCAATCATCCGACTACGGATAATTGCCACAAGTCTGGTCTGAGAAGAATCTTTTTTTGGTTGACATCATGGGTAAGACATGGATGGCATCTTCCCTTCACCTTTATAGAGGTGATTTGAAATCCCTTATGCAAGCAGGTTACGTGCCGAATTTGTCTGCACTGCCTTCGTTCTTAGCAAGTTTCTGTAGGTCGTCCATTCGTTTGACCCATTCCAATTTGGACGAGTGTTCTCGCACATGTTTGTGCAGTGCAACAAGTGTGTTGTACTCACAATTGGGGAACATGAAGAAGGGAAACTTGTAACGCAGCCTGTGAAGTACATAACCGAAGCTTAGTTGGTCCCTCGGAGTAAATCTGTTCACTTCGTTGAACCAGAGACACGAAAAAAGGTTTGTCATGGGTGTGTGCTCCCGCACGATTAATCCTCCCTCTGGAACGTCTGCAGCAGTTAAGGAACGAATCAAGCGCATGTTGTAAAGCACAACTCCTCATCTTCGTTTCAATTTCACAGATACTTCCTCTCAAGGAGTTTCAAGCTGCCATTAATCGAATGCCGGTTCGGAAGACATCGCAGGATAGCACACCTTGATAAAGAATATTCACTCTCAAAAAGTCGCTCTTGGGCACCAAGAAGATTTTTCAAAAATCATTGAAGGGAAATCTGTGGAACAGGATTCAGCGTGAAGTTTACCTACCACTCTGCAGTGGGAGTTTAGCTTCGGACCACGGTTGCAGGCCCTCTTTACGGTAAACCTCCATATGTTGGTCAATTAGAGGACGAGCATATCGCTTTCGTCTCTTGCATGCATCCGCTTCTTCATACACACTTCGATGATACTTATGTTGCGCAATTGCAAACGACTGATTCTCTCTCCACAAATACCTGCTTCCTTACAGTTCAAAATCTAATTCAAACCGCAGATTATTTTCACTACTCAACAGCGTGGATGTATGAAAGACAAAGGTTGAAGGATTTCTACCTCTCAAGAATCAAGAGGGGGTCGGCTACAAGCTCCAATTTCCCATCAATCCAAATACTATACCGCGTTTTGGGAAACAACCGATGAAGCAGAAGCTTCGGCACCTTGCCATTTCGTCTTGCCTCATCATAAGGCAAGCTCTTCATTTCAATTACTCGCCACATTCCAACCCAGTTTCCTTCATTTTCATCTCGTACCAGAAATTTTCCCTCTTCGAAGGTCTTGACAGAAACATGGTCTGCCAACATTATGAAGCAAAATATCTTATGAGCCAGCCGGCTCACATTTGAGGGCTGATGCGGTTGGTCATAGTTATCAAAGATGCCGGTGGCTACTAGAAACCTGCAGTGGCTCACATACCCTTGATCTTTTCTAGCGATTAACTCTGGTCCATCAACTTGAGCGAATCCACAGTGTATCTGCACAAGGAGGGCATTTAGTCCAGTGTCTTGGATAATTTGTTGAAGAGTATTTTATATATTTTTCAGATGTTGCAGTTTTAGATGAGGCTGGTTGGGTTTAAGTACATTCTTCTTAGGCTCGAGATCAAAACTTTCTTCTCTTTGTCGCAAGGTTTGATTTCCCCCAAAGAGAAGATTCATCGGCAGCTCCTTGCCACCATTCGCAAAACTTCCTTCCACAACATAACTCAACTCCAAATCGACCGACGAGGCATTCCTCTTCCAGTCTGGGAACTTTACGGACCATGGGCTGTCCACAAGTGCAATGGGACAACCTGTGAAAGACACAAATTAGACTTCTCATTGATGAGCTCAGAATACCATTTGCACACAAGCTGTGCATCTTCCCTCCCCCCTAAAAACAACTTAAGGCCAAGAAACACTGCGTTCGATTTAGCTATCCATGTCTGAAAAACCATCTCACGGAACAAGTATTCCTGTATCTCTGGTCAAGTATGACCATTCGATATATTTTACTTAATTCAATGCATTGCCAAATGGCTACACTCTTTCCTCACTTTCAAAAAAAATAATTGCTTTTCAAGAAGTGACTATCACCAAGTAGTTGCAATCTTACGGTGTGCAGGACCAGGGAAGAGCCCAATCGCTGCAAGAAACATATAAATCTTACGCCTCTTCTTGCATTTCCCTACATCAAAACAGCACTGAATCTGAAGTAAACCAAGCCTACCACACCGAAAAGGAGTAAGCGAATAAGTGATATCCCTTCCAGCATCACTCACCAAAGGCACTGCACGCAACAATTTTTGAGACAATCTTCAAAGCCACAAACCAATGTAAGAGCAACAAACCTGGAAAGGGGGTCCTGGACTCGCACGACCAGAAGAAGAACACCGTCAAGGAGAAGAGAACACTGAACCATACGATGATCATCCCTGCAAGAAACAGCCATCGCGCCTTTCTCCGCCTCATACAGTGCATGAGCTCCATGGTTGCCGACTACAAGCTCTCAATCTACGCAAGATCGTATCCATGGACTGTAGCTTCCGGCGCATGGACGGTTCGGTTTAGTGGAGCATGGTGCTCGCTTCCTTGCTCGCTTGTTCGTTCGTCCGTCCTATTTGTCGTCGTTGGATCCGTCTCTCTTTTTGTCGTTCGCTCAGTCATTCGTTTGGTCGTTCGTCCAGGCTTTCGTTTGGTCAATTATTCGGTCGTTCGTTCGTTGTCCTCTGCTTATTCTTCCAGGAACTGAATTCGGGCTAGTTGTGAGGTGTTACTGTGGTTTTGGACTGTAATAGTATAATGGATTCATTGGTGTTAAGTGCACTTCGCATTCAGTATTCATCATGTCAATGAATTTAGAAATACGGATCAATACATGTAATAAAAGATAAAAATATAATCTTTAATATTTGTATAAATGTATACAATACATACATTACATATGACTATTCTTTATGTAATGGCCATACGTACATTACATATAGTAAACCATTCTTTTTGTAATGGCCGGATTAAATATGTTAATATTTACATGTGAGTTCAATTCAATATTTGCACAATGTCAATTTAATTGAGTTGGAAAGCATCCTAGAAAATACATACATATATATATATATATATATATATATCAAACAAATTAATAATTTAAAATCATACACATACAAAATTTCACTATAATATTTGTATCACAAACCAATTGAAGACCTCCAACACAACACCAATAGATAAACATGGTTTTTTTTTACGTTCAATTCTTTTTTGGCTCAAGTTACATGCACACCCCAAATTGCTATACACACACCTATTATGTCTGTCAGCACATTCAAGGCCTATAAATGGCTGCCCTGCTTATCTCCTACAAATGGATTTGGAGATGACTTCCTTCCTCTCTTCCTTGTCCCAGCACAAGTCCTAGATGTCCTCCCCCTCCTCTTTATCCATTGCCAATCAAATTAACAAACTAGCCAATCAAAGGCCTCTATTTTCTTGGATGTCTATAGTAATTTGGGGTGTACGTGTAACAACTTGAAATGTGCATGTAGCCTCAGCCTTCTTTCTTTTAATTTTCAATTTTTTTCAAGGAGAACACCTCCGCAATAAGAAACAAAAAAGGATCAAACGCCACCATCCCACGTGGACAATAAGCCAATGCCACCTAAGCAGGTCCCAGGGACGGGAATCCCCCTCCACTCATGGGTTCCGTCGGAACCCGGCCCGTTCCCCCAGAATCCAGCCCGCGGGATCGCCGGCTCGACTGGGTCCGATTTGTCCCACATCCACGTCCATATGAGCGACGCCGAAATCAAGCGATGCTCGACACCGATCGGGGATACGGATCCCCCTGACCCAGGAAGAACCCACGTCGGTAATTGGAGCGGCGTTGAAGATTCGGACACCAGGATGTTTCCACCGGATGACTCTGCATCGCCCTCATTCCTTCAATCGCATTGTACTGGTGGACTTCATCTTTATAGCGGCTTTTGTGCCTCGGTTTGTACCGGTTTGGCTGGACAATTTTGTTTTGCGTGGGAGACTCGCAGTGGATGAATAAACCAATCGTGATTGCTGCACCTCGTTAGCAGACAGAGAGACTATTTTGTCGTGTCCTTTCCTGGTTTGGGGTGGAATCGGAAGGAGCTCGTAAGAGTCTGTGAGGAGTTACGGGGTTTGAGTTCGATCGGGATGTGTCGAAGGCTGAATTTGGAGATGTTTCTTGGTGGTGGTGGTGGTGGTGGACGTAGTTGAGGTTGGACTGAGCGAGGAGTTGTTTGGTTTTTTTTGTAGTTTTTGGGAGAAGTTGGGTTCAAGCGCAATGCAGGCTGTGGGATTTGGAGCTGCGATCAGCATTGAGAAGCTTTCGTGGGGAGAGAGTGTTCTAGGTGGAGATGCGGAGATTCGCAGCCCTGGAGATTGCAACGACTCACTAGTGAAGTTGCGTTGTGGTCGGAACGCGAGAGTGGTTGCTTGCGCTACCAGCTACAGCGTTCCCCCGGCAGCGTTGACGGAGGCGAGCGTTTTGACAAGAGAGCGTTATGGCTTCCGCGCTCAGTCCAGCGTTACCACAGAGCCGTCGGAGAGGAGTTTCATGTCCGCTGAGCAGAAGGTGTTCGAGGTGGTGCAAAAGCAGGCTGCCATGGTCAACGAGGAGCGGCGACGAAGCGTAATGTCCTTGCAAGATGTGCGGTCTCACTTTATGGCTGGTAGCGCTGTGAATGTGTTGGACGAGGCTTATGTTCGCTGCGGCGAGGTTTGTGCTGAGTACTCGAAGACCTTCTATCTGGGTAAGACCACCTTCCTCTCTCTTGACGTCTTACATTCTTGCTTTCGGCCTCGCCATTTTCAAGATTATCACCGGCAATTCACCTTCTTCACTTGGTTTTCATCCAAGAGTGCAACCAGGATATTGCAACTAAGCTGTGGTATTGTTCGATATTGATGACAGGAACGAAGCTTATGACTCCGGAAAGGCAACGTGCCATTTGGGCTATATATGGTAAGATGTTCTAATTGTGTTTTTATCTTTCTGTTTCCAAGTAGAGTTGGCTAGCCGTAGATCTTCGTAGGTTCTTTCAAGTTAATGGATCATCATCGTGTTGGTGTAATCGCTGCAAGCGTTCAACAATTCTACTCAAAATCCCTACTGTGATAGTGGTTTCGGAAAAAGAACTGAATATATCTAGAAGAACATCCTAGGCTTCTGACGTGTTTATTAACTGCAGAACTTTGTCTGAGACTAAAACCATGTGGGGATAAAAACGCTGTAATGGTGGGTTAAATCTCGACTTGCCGGGTGCAGTATGGTGCAGGAGGACGGACGAACTTGTAGATGGGCCTAATGCATCTCGCATCACCCCCACTGCTCTTGACCGGTGGGAAGATCGGTTCGAGGATATTTTTAGGGGACAGCCATATGACATGCTGGATGCTGCACTTGCTGATACAGTCACCAAATTTCCTGTCGATATTCAGGTACGCAGCGCGGCTCACCAATTTTGTAACTCTTCAAAAGTTCAAATACTCGTGTCGCAAATCTGGAATGAACTCCCGTTCGCTTGAGACTAACAAATCTTTATGAAAAGGGTGATGATGCCCAGCAATCTGGATGGATCCCAGCAGCCTATTCACAATTGTGTGCTTTTATAATGCAGCCCTTCCGAGATATGATTGATGGGATGAGGATGGATATGGTGAAATCGAGATATGCCAATTTTGACGAACTCTACCTGTACTGTTACAATGTAGCCGGCACCGTGGGTCTCATGAGCGTACCTGTTATGGGCATTGCGCCTGAGTCAAAAGCCACCACTGAAAGTGTCTACAACAACGCTTTGGCGTTAGGAATCGCAAACCAGCTTACAAATATCCTGCGGGATGTCGGAGAAGAGTAAGAATTCTAAAATTTTGTTTGATGGTGCTCTTTAATTATTTTGTTGTATGTTCAATTGTTCGGATCTGTTGAAACGATGCGGCCGTTATAGGATGAGAGGAGAAGCATCAAGTGAGTTATGGGGAGGACGCTGACCATTATTTTTCTTTGGTTGGTCTAGTTTGAACTTTATCAAGTAGGATGGTCAAAATACTTAGTTGTTTGTGCTTTCCAGCTTATCGATGTACATATGCAGCAAGAAGATTTCATTGAGTCACTTTTATTTGCAGTGCACGGCGTGGCAGAATCTACCTCCCACAAGATGAACTGGCGCGTTTCGGTATATCGGATGCAGACATTTTTGCTGGAAAGGTTTCTGATAAATGGAGGGCCTTCATGAAAGACCAGATTAAGAGGGCTAGAGTGTTCTTCGTGGAGGCTGAGAAAGGTGTACGTGAGCTGGACAAAGACAGTCGCTGGCCGGTAAGTTAAAATCCCTACTGAAATCATGTAAATCCCAGGAATGATTACACTTTAGGTAAGAGCCGTCTTGCCCGAGTTCATGCTTTTTCGTTGCTCTCATTACTTGTGCTATGCATAAGTCATGCAGTCTAAGTCTTCCTCCCTAGCGTGTATTTCTGTTAAAGAGGATTTGCACGTATAGGTCCATGTAAATTATGATTTTTGCGCTCAATTCAGCTCAGTTTGCACACCCACTTCAGAATCTAAACTAGAAGTCTGGAAGTCAATCTTTCGCTGACTGTCGCTGGTATCAACTTACTTTCTCTCCAGCTCCAACTTTCTGCTTTACACGCTCTTAAGCTGATTCTCCAATGTTTGGTGCAAACAGGTATGGTCCGCCCTGATTTTGTACCAGAAAATATTGGATGCTATCGAAGCAAACGATTATGATAATTTCACAAGAAGAGCTTATGTGGCCAAATGGCAGAAGCTTGTCTCTCTTCCGGTTGCGTATGGCCGAGCGTTGGTTCCACCTCCAGATGCACTAGCCAGGTTATCACGTTGACTATGAAATGCTGATGTACTCCAAGTGGCAATGAATGTCGAAGTCCACGAAGATCCGGTGTACTCTCGCGTGGAATCCTTCATGTTCTGTACTCCTATTACTACTCTGGGTCAAAACTCAGACCTAGGAGGCAGCCCCAGAAGCTGTAGATCCAGTCGTGAAGTTACCAAGCCTACCAAGCCTTCTTTAAACTTTGTGGGTAGGCGGTGAACCAATCAAGTGGACTGGACATCAATGAAATTGTACATAACCATCTAAACATAAATATAAATCATTCACTCCTGTTTAGCTCCACTTCGTGAACTACGATGTCTGGTTGATAGATCAATAGTTAGACATGTTAGTGTGCAATGAATGAATGGCACCGATGGTGAGAATTTCTCACTACCGGTACAGCATCGGCACAACCTGCTGGAATGCTAGTGGTGAAGCTCCGACAGGTGATGCTAAAAATCACTATCAAGCACCTCAGACGTGGTTGTATTCATA